TTTTCTATGTTGAATAAAGAACAGATTTCCTTTCCAAGCAGGATCTCTGGCAAATTGAATTGAAATCAAAAGCTGAATCTTTGAGTATCAGAGAGCCTGAAAGAAGCCGAGTACATTTTGTGAACATCTGCTCTGCTCAGGGATTAAGCCCGACTGTGTCTACAGCACCTTTATCTCAACTTCTTCAGTCTTGATCACTGTAAATCAACATAGAAAGAAACGTGGATTACCGCATATCCACTAAGAGAATAAGCTGAATGCCATTTCTCTTTTTTTGGGACAAAAGTAGGGGATCAAATGGGCCGCTGAGCATTCGGCATCCCACAGCCGAATGAGGAGCCGCACAGGTGCTCTCTTCAGGGGAATCCTGTGTTTCATAGGGAAATGTCTCTGCAAAGGCTCACTGAATATCAATCACAGACAAACACACATCTCCTCCTAATGCACCTTCCATACTGGCATTGAATCATAGAGAGTGAGTCATCCCAAGAGGCATTGTTCTGCTGGAGAGTCAAAGCAAGGGCTGGATGTCCGGTGTTTCTAGCCTCACTCTGTCTGGCATGTAAAGTAGAGTGTGTATGTGCAGCTTTCTCAGTCTCTTTTCAGTTTCTAAGCTGAATTACATCCAGGAATACTACTGATCTGTGAAGGTGATTTATTATACGACTCTAAAAAGTGTTCTCAGGGTATGCTTCACCTTAAAGAGACAGTCGTGTGATTCTTGCTTGATTTTACAGTAACAGGTCCATCATGTGTTGCTAATTATCGGATATGATAAATGGATAGATGAATTCAGGGTTTTTCTTGCCGTTTCCCTGGTTTGTTCAGCTTCTTACTGCTTTAAATACACACCCACCACATTAACCTGCAGTTAACATCACTGTTAAACACTACTGTCACACTTATACCAGATACTGGACTTCGTTGTCTCCAGTCCACCTGTAATTTAGTCCGCTTCCTGGCTTCTCGCTCAGTCTCATGTTCTGTTTGAGGTATGCGTCAGGTATGTGAGACAGTGTCCCCAGAGACTGTGAGAAATAGGCGCAGCATTTTATTTGCAATTTGATGATCATCAGAACAGGTTTAGTACTCCTACATGAAGTATACCTGGAACTGAAAATAAATTTAAAATATTCTTTGTCTGTCCGAAGCAGGCAGAATTAAGGAGAGTCACTTGAGTCAAGCTCTCAGTGCAAACAGAGAATGAAGCTGACAAGAAGGAACAATGATTAACTCAGCTGCTCTGGAGAAGCTTCAAAACACAAAATCAGTTCAATAAAACTGTCCTCAAAGGGTTCCCTGTAGTCAGAGTGCTGTGAATTTACAGCACCTCTCTTGATAGAATTTAACTGATGAAACTTTACAATTTACACGTACACGTCTTTGACGGTAATTAAATACACAACAGATTTCTTAGCTTACGTGACTCATGTGGAATTTACAATTATCACGGCCTAAGAGGAGGTAAACAATGGTTTTAAAAGGGTGGAATGTGCGTTTGTGCAGCTAATAGCAGGGAATATGTTACATAAGCCTACTGATAAAGGCAGGATGTCAGGCAGGGCTGATACCGTAGGGCTTTGTTAAGTTCCAATCCAAAGATGAGGCACTTCCTTAGAGGTACATGGCTCTACACAGCCGTAACTGTCTGTTAATGACGCAACAGAGAATACTTAGATGAATACAGTGAAACATTTTAATAGCATTTGATGAAAACACGTAAAGACTTCATCAGTAGTTGTGTTGTGTGGTTATATTTTCCATAAAGCAAAAAATAAAAAATAAAGGGTTTAAGATGAGAAGTAATTGCTCTGATGCCACTGAGGTTCAACTGAGCATTTTCATATTCACAGATGTTTATTGTTTGTTTTTATACCGCTTAAGACTGGCCCAAATTATTAGACTAAGTCATATCTACCTTCAGAAAATCGGCATATTAATGAATGATTAAAACAGGTCTGTTCTGTTCATTTTGGGTGCGACCTTGTGTCTGTGACAACTTGTCGTTAGTCATGGTGTATTCATCCTCCCTGATACTGAGGAACTCCTATGTCATTTTATGGATCTGTGTGGGCAATCATTTTAAAAACCTTTGTCATTTTTTATGAAGGCCTGAAATAGACCAAGCTAATCAACCAAAATACATCCTACTTGTAAAATGCAACCACAGTAGTCTTGTGCTCTGCTTGTTGTCGAGGTTGTTGCTCTAATGTTAAGCTTAATATAATCCCATGAACAATCACCAACGTGGCGCTATGAGCAAGTGCTTAGCCGGAGCTTGCTTAAAAAAGATCTGGTCTCTCAAAATAATTCATGAAGGAAGTAATACTTTAGAAGTATGACAGAGGTCATAATTCTGACCCTGATGGTTTGCTGCCGTCTGTAAAGACTGACGGCAGAATAGGAGTTTAACTTTGTAGGCAGTATTTGCCTTGACATCATAACTCCTGGTAGCAGATGAATTTTCTTTAAGGTTAAACGGCATGTCAGAGTACATCCGGACTCAGTGAACACTGGTGTTTTTGGATCACTGCAAAGCAAATAGCAAAAGAGAAACCACTGTACTCACTGTTACTTCACGTATTTTCCCATACATATTTTACACGCTTGCATTTTCGAGCAAGGTGTGTGTTTAACACTCATGCTGAAAAAACTAATTGCATCATTACTTTCTTTTCTGTGGATGTGAACAGGAATTAGGCGGCCTCACCTGATCTCAGCCTTTGTGTTGACGTAATCTTAAAGGAATCTACCGACATGCCAACAAACCAATTCTGTGGAAGGGTGTATCCTTTAATGTTTGAAATAACATCCCTCATGTCGCCCGCCATCATTCTTTTGCGCTTAGAAGCAACTACTTATTCTGGAAGTTGGGCCCATCCCATGACATCTTAACTTTGAGATATTTTAGAAATGTTTTGCTGTATATTTGCCAGAATCTGAAGACTGGTACGAAGGAGTGGTGTTATCACTTCTATTTAGTATCTTCTGCCTTGCTTACACGCAAGATCAATCTTAGGAAAAACCACTACATAAGTCCAGGCAACGTTTCGAAGCAAGAACACTTATTTGCGTGTGCTGATATTGCTAGGTGTGACAATGTGCCTGAGGAACAAGGGGAACCCAATCACCAAATTGTAGTTAATAAGGCATGTTCACAGGGAGATGATGACATGTGATTCTGTCGGTAACCTCAAATTGACCCCTTAAAGAAGCTAGGACTTGTGTTTTTGTCAAGCTGCTACGCAGTGGCAGTACATTGCTTTTAAAACCCTCACACAATAACATCTGGCGGTGGATAATCGTGGACCTCTCCCTCATCTTATCTCCAGCGTACACAGCATCCCCTTCGTGTGTGCTTATGCATGCGCAAGCACAGAAATACTGAACTGTGCTGCGGCCGCAGGCAGAGCTAGTTAAGATCTGGAGAGCTGAATCTGCAGGGAGCAGTCATCAGAGTCATTTAGCGTTACACAATAAACCAGCACTTACTAAAGCTACACAAATGCTCACGATGGAAGCTGCAGAGAAGAGGGAAAATGCATGCAAATAGAGGGAAAGCACTGGGCAAAGTAGTAATGGCGCAAAGTAATATAATCCCCCCGTCAACCCAAATTTCATGAATGATGAGGCAAATTAGATTTGAATGAGATTTTCTACCCCAAAAATTACACAATGAGGTCACACTGCATTTTATCAGGATAGATGCTTGCTGTATAGGTCATTAAATTGAAAGGTGCTCAAGTGTCAAAAGTTAAATATTTGTTTGCTATGTATTTGTAAAATGTATCAATGCCAGAAAATTTGAGAACACTTGCTTTCATGGTTTCATTATATTTCCCTATTATTCATGTTCACAAATGTGGTTAAGGACTTTTAACATGTAAACATAAATATTTTTCTTACATAAACCTTGACTGATTAATGATTCATTTAACACAGTGCTACATGTTTAAAGCTATTTTATCAAATACCAGCATAGTTATATGTAAAAAATGTGCATCATATTCTTTTTTTCTCTTTTCATCATACCAGACATTTACATGTTCAAAACTACAGTTGTGCTTTAATCTGATTGTTGTCCTTTATCTTGCACGTTGGCCTCAGCAGCTGTGGGACTGTGTCGTTGTATCTTATATAACACACCCATCTCGCTTTTCTCTCTCACCCCAGAGGAGGTATAGAGAAGTCTCTCCTCTGTATGTTTATGCAGATGAAGTGTCAAAACACTCGAGCCTCCCCCCATGGCTTCTCTTTCTGGTTTCGAGGGTATCATCTCTGCCCTTTTCACTTTGCAAAGACACAAAACTCTGCTTTACAGCATTAAATATTCAGATGTTTTGGGCCGGTCATGCATTTGCTGAAATTCTCCAGACGAAGCCTCAATTTCGATCAGCAATGGAGCAATCATGAAAACATTTTTTAAAGCGCTTATGTTAATTTTTACAGGGACTCAAGTACACTTGTAGGAAATGAAGACTATTTATTTTGGCTTAAAGCCACCAAGGTAATCTTTTTTGCTAGAATCAGCGCTGCTGTGTGATGAATGGCTTTAAATAGTTTGGGATCTGGTTAGTGTAATTATATTTCCAGCTGCGATACTTTAAACCCTGACAAGTTGGTAAATTTATTTCCCCCGCCAACATTTTTTTCTAAAGTTGTCTCCTTTTCTTTCCCTCTCACCCTGTAAAGGGCTACTGCACCACTGCAGCTCAAACGGGAGCTTTTCCCTGCCCTGAAATGCTGCATTTGTGTATCTCTCTTCTTAATTTCTTTCACAATGTCAACCATGTGCAAATGTTCTTATCAGTACTCTATCATCAGTGGTGTATTAAAGATACGACATGATCCCAAGCAGTCAGAGTTGAGAGCATCTGTCCTCTGGCCGCCCTTCTCTGCATCTCTGGCACACTCCTGTCTCACTGTTGATCTGGACAGGTCTTGACTTAATGAGTGCTCCATGGAAAAAAAAAAAAAAAGCATGCCCAGTCCAGCTGGAATTTGGGGACTTAAAAGCACAGCTCAAAATCTACTGTTACATGTATCATTTTGTGTCCACATACTAAAGTAACACTTTTGCATTTTTCTCCTTCCACAGTCTTCATCTGTAGCTTCATGGTGGCAGCTCCCATCTTTGGTTACCTGGGAGACCGCTTCAACAGAAAGGTCATCCTGAGCTGTGGCATTTTCTTCTGGTCCATTGTTACCCTGTCCAGCTCGTTCATCACTAAAGAGGTACGGCATAGCTCTTCTTCTCACGGAGACTGTGGGCCAGTGTGACTCCATCTGACTCCGCTTCCTTACATTGACAAGTTCATTAGTCTGTTATGATCTGGATACGCTCAATGTTAAGGCTGGTAGTGAAATGAAATGACATGCTCGTTAAGTCAGACACCCGCTTTGCCTTTGTAGTTTATGCTCTATATCTCCTATCCCCCTCCTCTTTTCTCTGCCTTTCTGGCTACCAGCCAATCAACTAATGAAGACCCATGCTTCACACTTGTCTCAATTACAATACTTTAGAGGGTAAAAATCTGGTGTTTCACCGCCTCCCCCTCAGCATGTAGATTTAGATTTGATATCTGTAAAAGCTCAGATGTGCGTGGAAGGTGTTGGGTGCATTAAACAATGAGATTAGTCCTGGTGGGGATGATCTGGGGGAGGGGATAGCCTGCTGAGTCGAGACATCATATTACAGTAAAAGGCTGTGTTCATATACTTGTGAAAGCATATATGCATGCTGGGGGAACCCTGTTTCTCATACCCAATGGGCATTTCAAATAAAAATTCAACAGACTGAGAAATTGGCTTACATGGAAAGAATCTGTGTCATTAAATCGGCGTTTGTTAAACGTGCGCAGCCCAGGATGCGTATGCAAAGCAGCATCATGCCGTCGTGTCTCCGAGCAGGCTATAACTCCTCAGAGCCGTGCACAAAAGTGACAGCTCAGAGATGTCAGTGGTCTCAGGAGGGCATCATTTGACTTAAATCTCGACAGTCCCATCTGCAAGGAGTTCAAGATTGCAACAACTTGCCTAAGCATGCAATACATTCCAGCTGCTTATGGCTAAGCTGCAGTTAAGGGCCTCTCACTGACACATGTCACACAGGATACCAATTGTTGATAAGGACAAGAAGAATGCTCCTCAGGACCCGTTGCCCATTGCCTCACACTTAATTCCACCCTTAAGAGATGCCAGTCAAATAAGACTAGTTGGTTGTTATGTAATAGCACTACGGCACTGTTGCCATGAGAAATGAAACACATGTAATGTAGTAAAATGTTAATGACCACTTACAAATGACTCCCATCATTAAGCATTTAACACTCTGAGGGGCATTTTGGATTTGAATCTACACCAGATATGGAATGTGGGTCTTATGCAATAAGTACATTCATTTTCTGCAAGACTAAAAAAAGCTCATCCTCATCATCATGTGATCACTTTTCAGAAATATGAAATACATCAGTGTATTTTTAAATTAGTAGTGCGAAAAGAAATACAGGAATCACTGCATATTATTAGAGTACACCACTCTTTTGCCTCTAAGTTCTCATTCTTATGGAGATAAAAGCATGACTCATTTTATTGAGTTTCATCTCATTAATATTTAAGACAGGGATGACGAGAACTATTGCAATCCGGCAAGGCCAGATAAATTGTGCGTCTCTTCGATATTGTTAAATGCCAATTAATAATATTGACAGCTTCCATCTGCGTTGAACTTTGCTGTGCATCGGATGCTGTATATAAGTCAGGTATCTTTTCAAAAGTCTATTTTTAGCTAATAGAAACGAGTTTATAGGCAGGACAATCATGCAAGAAAAAAAGGGCACAAGGACAGCGCTAACAAAAGTTTACAAAGACAGTCTAGTTACAAACCCTCTAAAGTGAGGACAGTGCAGGTGAACAGAAGGGCACGGACGATGATGCAACTGGCTGTAATTCAGAGTGGGAGGGGCTGGTGTTGCTGCTGGATGTAGGAAATCATCCGAAAAGAGAATAATAATATTCAAAATCCGTGTGACACAACTGATGGGGACAGTTACGTCTCAACTCTTCCAGGTGTTTCATTTTGTGGAGGATGGAAACTGCAGTAAAAACATATTAGGGTCAAACCAGAAGAGAAATAGAAACCAACAATGCATTAAAAATGAACAAATGATGCCTTTTTTCTTTCATATCCTGTGCTGCTTTATGTCATAAAAAATATGTAGAAGCCAAATAGGAAACGGATGTGAAAGTCAAGAACAGAGCAGCATGACCATCAACCAAGAAAGCAAACTAAACGAGTAAATCAGTTCGTTAACACAAACTCAGTTAATCATTGTATCTAAATACAAAGGAAAGCTTTTTCTGAACCTCTCTTTCATCTATTTGTGTTCTTCAATCTGCTTTAACAATTTCCGAACCAACATTCTCTGGTGTGTTTGTCTTTGTGTTGCTGCCTGGGCCTTTTCTGGTGTTTGTCAGCTCTTCTGTAGCTTCTGATCCACGTGGTGATGATGGCCTGGTGGTGACCACACACACAAAACGAGCTGCCATCATGCTCCCACTAAACGGCAGGCCACCAGAGGAAGAAAATAGACTGTGTGTGAATCATTTTAAGCTGTGTGACAAAAGTACAGCCACAGCAGTGAAAGCTCTGTTGGGGATCAGTCATAAACACACACAAGTTCAAACGTTCTCATGCTCAACTGAATGCTGGAAAAACAATGCAGGGGACCCGTGGACATTTATCATTGAAAATAATACGGGGTAACACCAAAGCAGGGGGGGTTTGAGGTGTGGGGGTTGAATCCCTTGAGTGTCATCTTACAGAGAGGTGTGTGTTGTGTAGTCTTCAAATCATATTTGATGGCTGACCTCATGACATATTGTCCATGAGGTGACTGTAGCTCTTCTCAACCTCACTTTTGTAACTCCCCTTCATTTGTTAAATTATTTTAGATTGTAACATTATGACTGTGTCACACACAATTAATAAAGGTATACAAATTCAAAATAACCCCACATGTGTCTGAGGAAGAAATTGGAAGATAGTGCTCTTGACGTGGAATGCAGTGGTTTGAAACTGCACACACAGCACTTTTATTCGACTTTATTGCCACAGCAGCAGGATTTCTCATCGGACTAACTGACAGGGGGCTGTTTTGTAGCCACTGTTTGTAATTTGCATCATGTACGGGAACTACATTTCTTTGCAGGTTGATAAGCAGTCATGCGAACCCGTATCTAGTGAGGAGCAGTTGCCATGGAAACAGTTAACAATCCAGCTGCTGTGACCAGAAAGCCTTCAAGCTACTCGCTTTATCTGTCATCGCCGTATAAATATCTGTCCGTATCTGAGGCATTATACCTTGGCAATTTGTCAAATCTAAACTGTTTTAAGCTAATTTTGATGGAAATATTTCACAAACAGGAATTTTTTTCCCGTTTTTCAACTGACCAGGATGACCTTCACTTATATTTTGGATCAAAAACAAATCTTCCTTCTGTGTGTTCAGTTTCTGCCCTGACAACAGTGTCACGGACATTTATTTTATTCCTAATTTCTGATCTATTTATGCTCATGCATTTAGTCTGATGACAGAATCATGTCTGCTCTCAATATTGTGCTCCCTGAAGACACAAGCATACAATTTGGATTTTTACACAGAGGGCCTCCAATCGTTTGAATCTTTAGAGGATTTGTGCTGCAGATGATGGAAAATCCAAAGTGTTGACAGTGTTATGCTCAGGATCGTCTCTCCACATCTTTACCTCCTAGAAACTCTGCTTTTTAAGGTGCCTTTTGATGTCCAGTCATGTTATTGACTTCTTTAGTTTAGGTTAGATTCATGTTTTTCATGGAATATAAAATACCCGACTTTAACATTTAAAGTTATCTATATTAAATTATTTGAATTGTGAATAAATATCAGCTATTTTTGTAAATCATTGCATTGTGTCTTAAATCACATTTTACAAACCTTTTTGGAATCACAGTCGTGAGCAATAAAAGGAGGGTTTAAATGTTTTATTCCCAAATGAAAAATGAATTTCAAACTAACAGTCTTTTCAACAGTGTGGAAGCTACCTGGATTGATATAATCTGAAAGTTTAGCAGAAGAGCGTTTTATCGTTTCTTTTCTTTGTCTCTCCCTTCTCTCTGCAGTACTACTGGCTATTTGTGCTCTCCAGAGGACTGGTGGGTATCGGAGAGTCCAGCTACTCCTCCATCTCTCCCACCATCATCGGAGACCTGTTTACTAATAACAGCCGGACCATGATGCTCTCTGTCTTCTACCTGGCCATCCCCCTGGGAAGGTAAAAGGCAGACAGAGCCTGCTGGCAGCCAACAAGATATGATATCTTTTGTTTAGAATTGCATGTTTTTGATGTTGTTTCTTGATGCTTATAAGAAACAATTGAATGATTGAATCTATTCTGACGACTACTTGTATGTTTTATTGAGGGCAAATAGGATTTAGTAGATAGATTGTTTGAAATTTTCCTCACAGATCAAAGTGTCTGCCTGCTTTTTTTATACCAACCTCAGTACGGTCCTCTCAGACAGGAAAGCAGAAGGAGGTGGGAGGCTTTTTCTGGGCTGTGCTGTGGGGGTGTGGGAGCAGGAGGCATTATTAAGCACAAATACCCAACCTTTTCAGTTCATTCAATCAGAAAAGGGCCAGAGGGAGAAAACAAACAAAGCCAAATAATGAAAGATGAATGTAGCTGTGGATGTATCGCAGAAGTCACTTGAGGTTTATCTCTATATGTGATGCTCACCAGCGAGTGTCTGTGCTGCGGCACGTTGCCTGTTTCCCTTTTTCTGCATGCACGTTGGCTCACTGAGGAACTTTTTACTGGCCAACACTGTAAACAGTCACATCACGTTAAATTTATGTAATTATGTAACCTGTCACTTTATATTGCTTCAAGGCAAAATGCAGTGATGAGCCCTTATATAACCAGTTTGCTCCTTTAATCATTTCAATATTTATGTTAGATCGAAGGCTGTAGGACAAATTAGGGTTGGAAAAACAAAACTGACCTTTGGGAAGTGGGGTTATGATTTGCCAAAATGTTTTGGTGTCTGTAAACTGCCCGGCAACACAGACAATAGAAGGTGAAAGAGTGGGCTTCAGTAAAGTGCAGTCAAACATCCTATCCAGTATCCCACTCTGACTTTACTCTGACCTCTGGATTACAACAGATTCACAGGAAATTGACCCTTCTGGCTTTTCTTTCTTCTTTTTTAAACATTTTACACCGTATTTTTTAACTTGGCTCCACAGATATGTTTGTGAGGCATGCTAGTGGTGGATGTGTGTGTATTTTTCTAATGAGTTTTATTGTTGGCGCTGAACTTTCCAAACACACTCTGGGTGGACTGATAAGATTAGCTGTCCAGTCACTCACTGGAAATATAAGCCGACAGGATATATTTATACTGCATTATTATTTTTGGAGAACTAACTGTGGGGGCATCACCATAAACTGCTCTTTTTTCACTGTGGCTGTGTGCAAAACAAGTTAGGCATGTTCAGCTACCAGCACAGATAAGAATACCCTGTAAAGTTTACATTTGATTATCAATCTTTCCTGTACCCTGGTTTTCTCATGGAAAACAACACCCACTGACCAGAGAATCGGCCCATAAAGAGAGACAGTTTTAAAGAAATGTCAGACATTAGTTTTTATTGACTTGTGAAGGGACCTGAAAGAAGTTAAAATTAGAAATGTTGATGGAAAGAAACACACTAGTTGTGGGTTCAAAGTGTCTGACCAAGAAATCTATGATTTTGTTTTTCATTTAAAGACAGTTTCCTAAAGAAATGTTGGCCTAGACTGTAGTGTGTGGCCAGTCCTATTTCTGGATTTTTTTCAATGCCCAAAGGCAGTTTGATCACATTCGGCTTCTCAAGACCAATGTAGACTCCCTCCCACCAGAAAAAAATAGTAATGTTTTCATGGCAACAAAAGAGTGACTCGTGATCAATGCCTAAAACAATATAGACATTAAACTTATGTTCCTTTTGGATTAACCCATATAATATGCGCAGTAATTTAGTATTTTGAGACGGCGTGGCTTGCTGCCAGACAGACCCCCTCTCTCTGTGCAGTGTTCTCTTCTCTCAGTTGGTGACGTACTTACATTTGTGACCACATGCAAAGATCTATCATCTACAAATAGACAAACTTGTCAGGCTGCTACCAAGGGCTTTGATCACTGACATGTCACGTTTTAATACCCACACATTCAATGCAGCTTTAATCATACTGCACCAGGACGTGGGTGGTGCATAGGGTAGAAAAAAACAGACTCACGAGCCATATACATGTGATATATGCTCATAAAATTGAGTGGAGCAGTTTTATGTTATTAATGTTCTCTCTTTGTGTCTTTGTAGTGGTTTGGGTTACATCCTGGGCTCAGGTGCGAAGGATGCTGCAGGAGACTGGCACTGGGCTTTAAGGGTAAGATTATCTCCACAAACAGCCACCAAACCTGCTCACAAGCATGCACACAAAATGGGACTGAAGACCCCTACAGGGACTGGTATGGGGGCTTGTTATGGATTTGGGGTCACTGGGGTCAGTTGCGACAGAAGCAACCGGAGACACCCATGGCTGCACGAGCCGTGACATTACAAAGAAGTGACAGGACAGGGAGACAAAAGCCGAACACTACATCACACATCAGCATTTCCACGCCCTCCTGCAGAAACACAGATTTTAACCTCACATGACTGCAGCATCTTCTGATGTGTGTTTGAGCTAAAAATCTATTAAAAATAGCAAGCCCTGAAGTCTTTAACCATTTCATTGTGGTATTATTTTTGTGCCTCTTAAACCATATAAGATACCCTACAGTGAGGGCAGTGATTAAAGCAGGAGCAAGGGCTCTGTCTGACCTGGTACAAAGACACATTTTTTCACTATATTCTGGTTCCCCAGAGGTGCTCTTAGAGTATTAAGCTAGATCCTTTTCAATAAAAGGCTCATTTCAATTGGATCTGTTTTTTTAAAAAAAGCCTGCTTTTTTGTGCTAGCACACTTAGGAGGAGACTACTGTTAAATTAGCCGCATAAATCACTCCTGTAACCGTTTTTTTTTTTTTACTACGAATACACTGAGAGCTAGAGAAGAAAAAGTTTGAAAGAGAACTGCTCTATAAGACATACCAGCCATAATGGAAAAGACCAATGAAAGGCCACACAGGACACACCAGGAGCTGTAGGCTTCGGCATCGGCTTTTAAAATCCTTGAAACAAATTATGACCTTGTGCCTCTTACGGTCAGACTGACATTTAAAAGGAAGGCATTAAACATTCTCTGAGCGTGTCTCGGTGGAAAAGAATCTTGGACGTAAGTGCTTGCTGAACAGGAAGAGCGTTTAAAAAACACAAACACCAGGGGGGCAGTTTGCTCCGAGGAGCCACAATGACATTCTGATAAAACAATTTCTGAGCCAATTAATCACCGGTGTGGCATGTGGATAAAAACAAATTCCAAGACATGAAACGGGTTCTGCATGTCGGTATCCTGTTTTAACAAAAAAGAATAATACAAAAAAAAAGCACCGCACTACTTCCCTTTGTTTTTGCCCGTCATGTTCCAGCTAGCTTCCTGAAAATGTCAATGGAGTAAAGTAACAGGGGACATTCAAAGAATCGAGCCGCAGAAGAGGACATTAGCTAATTTGTTTGATTGCCCACCATCTCCACAGGAAGTGTCTAATGGGCCTAGTGGGAGTGAAGGTCAGAGGTCACAGTATCTCAATGCATCCTTGTAAAATGACTTTAGTGCAAATTGTGAAAAAACAGCTCATATTTATCTCCACTTCACTTAGATGAGCTTCCATTAGTCGCTCTGCTTTAAAATGTTATTCTATTATTTTGATGTTGGTTTATTTAAGTTGTGTCAGATCAACAGAGGACACTGAAGAAATAAAGAAAGGATTGTTAATGTAATCCTCAAATTTATGCTACCGCAGCTATGGTATTATGCTGCATTATGAGCCACAACAGATTCTAAATGACCCCCTCAATGAATAACTGAAAGGGCACACCCATAAAATCCCATATACATGCCCTCATATTCATATTTTTACAATTATTTATGCCTAAATGGACCTAAATAGGCTTTAGCAAGCAACAAAACACTGTCTGATATAATTACTTTATCCTTATTTATCACAGTGTTTTGTATCATTATCAATATAATTTATTTTGCTTTTGTGTGTAATTTGTTTGGTGTATTTGTCTAACAGATCCTGTCCCATTTCTGTCTTTGGATCCCCCACATGTATACTCACAGGTGCAAACTTGCAACCACATGAGCCATAAAGGATGATAATACACATAATAGCAGCTCTGAGGTTTTCACCTGTTCACAAAGCAGCTTGAAGCCTGAAAGCTCCTTTAGTCTCTCGTATGCTTATACACACATGGGCAAGCCCACACCCACAGGGGGGTAAAAGAGCGAGCAAAGGGAATGCTCATAGTTTTGGAAGGCTTGGATAGGATATCAGGCGTGTCAGCAAACAGTGGCCTTACATTCAGACTGTAAACACTCAGTTCTTTGTCCTGCATCTATGCCTAAGCCCCGAACCCCCAGCCCCTTCCCACTGTGACATGTTAACATTGTCACCGTGCTCATAGCTCTCTTTGAGCTTTATTGATGGATTGATTTCGTGTCTTACTAGGTGTCCCCGCTCCTGGGTATCACTGCCGGGGCTCTGATCCTGTTATTCGTACCGGAGCCAAAGAGAGGCTGTGCAGACCAACTGAGAGGACGCATCAAGACCCGCACCTCCTGGGTCTGTGACATGAAAGCACTTGTCAAGAAGTAAGGCCCGTTCTCCGCTTTATCACATTATGGCATTTTTTCAAAAATCAGCCCCTCAAAAATAAAAAATAAAACAAGGGTTTCTCAAGGTGTTCACACAGCACTGAAGATTATTTTAATCCATTTATGGGTTTGGGGTATAGTTGTCTATCAGCTTTAGTCTGGTTTGGTTAATGAATGACCTTTGAAAGCTATTTTTTCCTAGAATAACTTATCTTTTGTTTGAAGTTGTTATCAGGGAAACTGAGATGATTGAGTTTGGTCTCCATGATTAAAGAATCCTGTTCTATTACTAACTGTGTGAATTTCTGTTTCTGTTTCTAGTCGGAGCTATGTCTTCTCCTCCCTGGCGTCGGCAGCAGTCTCTTTTGCCACAGGCGCGTTTGGTATGTGGATCCCTATATACCTGTCCAGAGCTCAGGTGGTGCAGAAAACAGCGGAGGATTGTACTAAAGGAGTCTGCCGGAGCACAGACAGGTGAGAGCTCCTGTTTGACCTGTCCAGTGTGGGAAATTCTAGAGTGATTGGAGCTATATATTCAGTCCCTTCTGATTTGTAATATGCCTTGAAATCAAATGAAAATGAGGCTGTTTGTTCTAATGACTGGGTTTTTCATGCAGCCTCATCTTCGGGGCGATCACCTGTGTTACGGGGCTGCTGGGCGTGGTCATTGGGGCGGCCACCACACGCCTGTGCCGCCAGAGGACGGAGCGAGCTGACCCCCTCGTGTGTGCTGTCAGCATGCTTGGCTCAGCCATCTTCATCTGCCTCATCTTTGTGGTGGCCAAGAAGAGCATCGTTGGAGCTTATGTAAGGCTCACACCCTGTAAACCTTTTTTTTATATTGTGTCTGCAAAAAAAAGAGATTATGTTTTAGTGCTGTCAGCTAAGAGATGTGTGGTAAAGAAAAATCCATCTGGATTACAGAGATTGGCCTAAGTGGTTAAATTTCAGAGAACAATAGAAACTGTTGATGTTTGATGTTTAAATCAAGAAGCAAAAGGACACTTTGCTTGTTGCTGCTTCATTTTGCACTGTGTGGCATTGCATTGGTCTCAAAATCATAACGAATAGCTTCAATTGCAGGTTAGTTTAAGATAGGTTAGGCTCATACCTCCTTAGGAATGAAATGACTAAATGAGCATGGTATTTGTGAGTCTAATTGCCATGTGAAGCAGGAAAGGGTGCAGCTTCATAGCCACTGCTTGGAAACAATGCACTTATAGCTGTTGGACTTACCGAGCACAAATCTTTATCAGTAACAAAGAAATAGGAACTGACCCACAACAGGTTGGCTGATACTAATACGTCAAATCTGGGAAATATTTTCCCATGCGTGTAAAACAAAAGAAAAGAAACTTCCTAATGTAATTATTTCCTAATAATGGTTAGCCCACACATATCTGACCTCTTTTACAGCTGGAACCATGCACACTAGTTTTTAAAGCCCATTTAAGGTGAATTAAATTATCTAATGATGTTTGCAGTGTATGTTGGCAGTATTAAGCCAGTAGAAAAAGGGACTGCGCCTGTCTTTATGAAAGCAAGAGAGGCTATTTGTGAGGTAAAAATTAGACTTTATGCTCTGATTCAATAGTTTACATCATTGAATTTTTAAGGGGAAAGTAGGCTAATGATTTAACAACCGCAAGACAGAATAGTTTAAAGTAATCAAGTAATTACTGATATAAATAATGATATAAATCTAATGAAGTAAGATTTAAATGAACTCCCATTAGGTCAAAGGCACCCATTTATCAGGTGTTTGACAGCAGCATGACTCAGCCAATTAGACCCGAGGTGCGGAAGTATCCATATTAATTACTCGATTACACATCTGTCCAACTCAATTTCAAACAGTCGCCATGTCACAGAAACAGGCTTTACCTTTTGCTAATGGACTAATGTGACACCTGTTTTTCTATCACTGTATCAATCTTACAGTAAAAAACTTGCTTAAAGAACTGTTGCGTTATGCTGCATGCACCATGCTTGTGGCAGCCCGTGCGTCCATAAGACTTCACCTCTTCTCTCACTCCTCCGCTGCACCGTGTTAAATTATCTCGCTGTACTGCAGCAGTGGTAAGTGAGCGGCTCAAGTTTCATTGCAGGGGGCTGACAGATGTGTCACATTATAGGGCGTGACATGATTGTAACAGCCGATGCTCCGCCGCTGCCGAGGCCGATCGACCCCTCGCAGCTGCTGTCTCGTCAACACATAGCTGATATGGGCAAAGGCAGGGCTCCTCTCCTCCACCAGACAACATGTCGGTCACGGTGTCTGGTTTGCAGCTCTCAGAACAGACCTGTCTACGATCTCTACTGTCAGACCCCTACTGGAGCCCTCTGTACTGTACTGTAGGTCTGGCATCCTGGTAGTGTATGGAGGGGGGGTTATTCCCCTGCAGGAAACACACATCAATCGCCCGTGTTAAAGTGTTTCAGATGAAACCAGCCGGTACAGATACATGAGATTCCATTGCAGCCAATTCCCTCTGGGTCTGCTTTTAAGAAAGAGGCCGAGTGTAAACAGGAGCAGCTTCCAGTGAAGTATGTACAGTAGCATGCAAGTGCATATAGTGTGTCACATGGGCTTCTTAGTTCGAGAGTATATCTTCTTCTCCACCCTTTCTGAAGGAGGACATAAATTCATATCCTGCAACTTCGCAAGTGTTGAAATGTTTTCCACATTTAAAGCCCTCGACGAGAATAAACAATTGTTGTCATCCCGTGCTGGTTTTCAGCTTGTGGGGTGCATACTCAGCTCAGCTCGACCGAAATGAAAGCCTACACATCCACATGTAATGGGGCCATGACATAATAACATGTTTTTGAGCCACCACGGCACTTTTTTCACTGGATTCTCACAGGGTAGAAATATCTTCTGCCTCCTCCTCTGGCTTTGTGTCATGTCAGTGGGTATCTGCTCCTCGTCAGCCCATTTCATTGTGAGATCTCCCTCTCTACTTTGCAGGTTTGCATCTTCATTGGAGAGACGCTGCTTTTCCTGAACTGGGCCATAACAGCAGACATTTTAATGGTAAGTACAGAGAACCTATACTTATCCTCTGGGTAACTGGAAATTCTTGCTATGAGCCATACCAAATGCTGGTTATCAAAATAGAAAAAGGTTTGAGCTGAATGATGTCTTAGTGGAACTTGAGGGCCACATGTGGGTATGATTGATATTTCTTTGTCTGAGGCTTATTCAAAGAGAGAAGCCTTTTCTCTAATGGGCTTCAGTTTCTGAAGAAGAAAACAGGATTTCAGAATGAAACAAAATGAATCAGATGCAATTAGTTTTGAGTCTGGTGAGAAGCAGACGAGCCGTTTCTCACATTTGCTGTAGACTGACAGGTCTGCCTCAGGCGTCCAGATCTAACAGGCGGCCTCAGTCTTCAGAAGTAAAGACTCATTTGGAATCCTCTGGGGTTTTTTTCATAATTTGATAGTGATATATATTTTGACCCTCTATTTTTGTCTATTTCTGTGCAGTTTGTCGTCATTCCCACACGGAGAGCGACGGCGGTCGCCTTTCAGAGCTTCACCTCTCATCTCCTGGGTGATGCGGGAAGTCCGTACCTGATAGGCCTGGTAAGACTCTTCCCAGCAACACCTCTGTGCTGGTGATCTGGATGTGTGGGGGAACATATTTAAGATGTCGTCTGGGTTTTAAATCGGGGGTGTAGTGCATCGGTGCCTCATTCATTCACTTACAATACATTTATATAGAGGTTCACCTCTCATTTTAAGTAGGCCAGCGCAAAGTGAGGCACAAGAGGAGCTTTTAGCACACGTCTCAGGAGAGCTGGTGAACAGAGCTGCGATTTCACCGTTACTCTCCAGGCTGTCAGTGGTATTCTCCAGTAAATCTCATAGTTCCCCCAGAGGCGCCAATGTTAGTGTATTTGATTGGTCAGGAGATGAGAGATTGGTCCTTACTGGGACGCTGGGCCTCTCAAGGTTGCACTCAGCACACCCCACCCCACCTTTCAACCAGCCACATACAGCCAAAGAATAGCATCCAGGAGGCCAGAATGAAAATGCTGCTCGCTGCTCAATGGAGTGTGAAACAGGATTCACCTCTGACTGTCAAGGCGCATTCTTCTCATTTTAAACTGAGAATGAGCATTTCTGAGTTAAATAGTTACTTACTGGAAGCGCACACTGTTCATGCTTTAGTGGACTGTTAATGCGGGGAGAAAATAGGGTGTTCTGCTGCACTCCATACACAATCCATTCACATGTAAAACGTTTTTATTTGAATGTTTATGATGCATTTTAGAGGCAGTAAATTGCTGAGACACAATAAGCTGTCTTATCGCTATGTGTCTACATTGTGTTTTATTGTAAAACCTCTGGCTCACAGCCTGAGTTATGTTAACAAAAGCAGCGGAAGTCTTTGATTAGTGAATATAACTGATCATGGGGATCCTCTGTTAATATCTGACAGGTTGCAGCGGGCGCAGCTGTCTGCAGAGCTGAGGTTAAAATTAGCCTTGTGTTATTTTCTCCTACATGGTTTTAAATGGAAATCATCTGATTCGTTCTTTTCTTCTGTTGTAATCAACAACTATACCAACTAATTATATTGTCAGTAATTTATTAAGCCAAAATCCCACCTTTTTATTCCTCTGCCTCCTCAGTGGAAGGATTAGAAGTTCTGCCCTGTGTTAAGATCAAATAAAAAACAAAATGTGGTTGACTAAACCATGTGTCATTTTAGTTAGTGAAAATAGAATTAGCTCATCGATATGGCAACAGGTTGACTAGTAATTAGGGTGAATATTGCCTGTACTGGTTGCACCCTGACAGTATTTCTAAAAAGCAGAAAGCACCGTATCGTACAGATGCTCTGAGAATACCCTAAAAACATACACATACAGATTCCGCCAGCCTCAATAACTCTGACATGGCCCCTCCAGTTAGTCAGCCACCCTGATCTACTCCACCCAGCTCCTGGGGTCACAACTCTTCTCTGAGTGGCATACCGAATGTATGCCTTCCACAGACCCCGATCGGCACTCAAAGTGCGTCACAACCCAGAGCCTCAGTTCCTGAGCTGAGGTTTAGCACATGAGTGCGAGGGACTGGTGACGCACGCTGAGCGCGGGCAGATAGGCTGTCGCCCATGCAGACTGACACAAGCACAGTGAGTTAGCTAAGAAGGAAATCTCAAGAAAGATACACTAGAGGTTATTGCTAAGCAACCACAGGAGAAAGAGAGTGAGTCAGTCATTCCTTTTGGTTCAAAACTGGGTTTTGAATGCGCACCAATCAGGCCTTGAGAATTACACATTCAACACAACAAACCAATGTGGTAGCTCCGGGGGTTTTTTGTGGGAATCACTGAAAGTAGCAGCGGCTGCAGAGACCGCACAACCATCACATCCTCTTGTGAAAAAAACTGCTTTGGTGTATATGAAATTCTCCTGGGTGTGAGCCAAGATTCCTCCCCATCAGCACGTAGACACACAGGCAGCTGTCACTCAAGCGTCCCCAGAGAAACACGCACCGGGCTCCTCCTGTACTATATGTTAATACATGACCACATCAGTGGGCATTAGAACAACACCAGGAACAATCTCTCAGCCATCATCCGAGAAATGGCTCAATAATTAGACAAGAGGCAGAGTATTTTTAGCAAAAGTGCTCTGTGCAATTTGCAGCGAATGTGCTGTACCTGATGAAACTGATTCAGCACACAGGCGCACAGATTAGTGCTAAAATGAGCAACCGATCTTGCCACATGTATGTTTTATTTAATCTCTCCATGCTGTGTTTATTCATAATCCCTCCATGCCTGTTTGAGCACACAGTGTGCACACAGGCTCACTGCCTCCAACACACTCCCGTCAGCAGTTCTCCAGCTCCCCTCCATAGAGAATCTTGTTCTGCTGACGCTAACTTGAAATCAATGTGCTTGAGCCAGTGTGACGTATGGCGGCTCAGACTCTCACACAAATAAAGCAGAGAAACCCCCCTCCTTCACTCCTGCCGGCCATACCGACGTAGAATCTGCTACATCTTACAATCGGCAGGCTCGCCGTGCTGTGATCTAATCAAGCTCCAGAGCTGCTTTGTGAGGGATACTGGGAGGCAGGAATGGTCACTTCGCACCCAGCTCTCTCTAGCTGTTGTTCTCCTCAGCCCCACACATGACATGCAGAATGCTAGCATCAATCAGGCCTTTGGCAGCAGGATGAGCTATTAGCTGTGAAACCCTGATCTGCTTAAAGGAAAACGGGGGCGTCTTGCATCATGCCGTGTGGAGGTTTTATCAGCTGCTGTGATGATACATGCAGACGTGTGCACACAATATCATGTTGTGTTTTCATAGCAGGATGGGATATTTTAAGAACTCTGCATGAGTGCTTAGTCTCAATAAAATTTTGTTCTGTTTCTGTTTTTTTTTTGTGGTTGCATTCCTGCGTGTGGTGCTTCTGCGGGAATGTGTCATCGTGTATTTGTCCTTTCCTGGATGCAGATCTCCGACAGCCTTCAGAAGAGCTACACTACATCAGCGCTGTGGCGGTTCCTCAGTTTGGGCTATGCCCTCATGTTGTGTCCATTTATCATCGTCCTCGGGGGCATGTTTTTCCTGGCCACAGCGCTATTTTTCCTGGATGACAAAGAAAAGGCAAATGAACAGTAAGTGACTCAGACATTGCTTGAATTACTCATTATTGGTTCATTCATTAGTTATTCATCAATTCCTTTAAAACGCAATCCCTGCTGAGTTTCTGAGTAAAAAATTCAAACAAATCCAAGTGCATGACCTCAAAGCAGCATTTAAATGGTGTCCTAGTGTTTTCTTTAGTTTTTTTGGACAATGTTGTGCTCTTTAAACCCAGCTGTGGGAGTTAAACATCAATGAGGGAAAAATTGTCTTACCAGATCATTGTTATATTAATGTTTTCCTCTATTAAGCAACAAAGATTGAACCAGCGGGAACAGTAGCTGGTTATGACCATAAAAGGCTCTGGCAAACGCATTGTCTTCTTGTTTGCTAGGCACCACTTCTTGTTTCCTTCTGACTATTTTTCCCCTGCATTGACTTACTCCCCTGGAGCCAGCGCTCTAAGAGATGATTTTCTTCCTGATAAAGATGAGGAACAATTTTAGACAGGCAGGCAGTGTGATGTCTGACATCTGTCTGTCGGCCTTTTCTTCACCCTGTACAGATGGGTGATTTTTCCCATGCATAGACCTTTCAGAAATCGCTGCACATCGTAATTAAATGTTTAAAGTGAAAAAATATGTGTTCTAATGATGTTCTATTACTGCTGCAAATCTGCATTTTATCATGTTATGGTCAAGCTGTTCGTAAATCTTCTGCGTAACATGCGAAGGTAAAAGATAAAACAACACAGAGTTCACACATGAAAAGTAGCCTTTGCAAAGTCACACATCTCTGGTGGTTTCAGTTGGGCCCAATCCAGAAAAAAAGGGAAGGGGATGCAAAACAAAGACTGAATAGAAGCCGCACACTTGAAAGTGTGCCAGTAATAGATATTAGCTTTCAGTCCAAAAAGCGATTAAAATGATCTAACCACAAAATCGTATGTTGTGGGTACATGGCACATGTTCACTCAAACTAAAACTCACCGCAACCCCTTGACATTCACACAACTCTGTTGCCAAATCTAGTGTTGCTGCAGATGTAAGTTCAAAGTAAAGAATTTAAGGAAAAACAGACTTAAGTGTCTGGAGAGTCATTCTGGTGTCTTTTTTCACAGATCCTTAGATCCTTTATTTAAAAGTGTGGATAACCAGTCTGCCATAGTGACTGATGTTAAACCAGTAATGAAGCAGCACCAGAGTTCACGCTTGTAATGAAGTATCTCTGAGTTTATATACATGTTGCTATACATGTCCAGGACTCAGAACGAGATCAGTCACCCTTCAAGAAACTGCATCCCAAAAGAAATTAGATGCAGTGTTTGGAAGTTTGTCATCAAAGCATGGATTTTCTCCTTACTTTATTTGATAAAGTGCAATGCTATAGAAATAGCTCACAGAATCAGTTCACAGTTACACTGAACTGTGTTGAAACAGAAGCAAAACTATTCCCCTAAAACATACTCCATCAAATACTTTCAGTGCTCATTACATAATAATTCCATTCAGAGATGTTACTTTAGTACTAGGCCTATATCATTTGCTGCTCACTCTCAACTCCCAGTAATCATATCTGTTTAAATTAATTCCAGGTAGTGTGGCAGAATGATCTCATTTAATTTTTGAATCAGTGTTTCTTCTGGTAAATTAGATTATAAGCAAACAGCTGAATCTCCTTTCCTTAGAATAAAAAAAGGACTAGACATCTCTCTGCTGTTCAGGTACATCCAGGACTTTTACTGAGTTATTTCACTTCAAAGCAAAAAGACCATTTGACTACGTGTTTTGTTTACAGCACGTTGCAAATGGCAGATGAGGCTCTTGATGATTGTGTCAGTGCAGAAACCAGTTCCTCATGTTGACATGTGAGTCGAACATATACTCTTACCAGCACACATATTTTCTTTATCTCAGACTCACAGAAGACTAATACGAACTTCTCCAGAAAATCAGCTATTTATCACTTCAGCCTCTCTTCTACTGATCTTCTGGAGACTGTGATTGGGCTGTTATGTAATGGACATTAGGCTCTCGCCATAGGGCATAGATTTAGTTGAGATGTTCTACATCTTATTTCAAGGTTTAATTTACTCAAATACAACAATGATAACTCAGGACTTGATCCTGTTAATGTAATCAGACTGTAAATAAATTCTGAAACAATGTAACAATCTATTCATTGAGCAGCCCTTTACTTAAAGCTGAAAGGATTGGCACGTTTTAGAACTGAATGCATTTATTAATGTATAATATGTTATGCAAAGAATTGCTGAGACACTACATCCACAAAACTTTAAAGTCATCATTTCTTATGGAGGAAGCTAGAAAAACAAGAAGTCAGGGAGTAAGAAATGTGACAACATGCTCAACATAACACAATCATGGGTTGTTCCATGATTGTGATGTTTATCTATTCTATTCAACCCCCCAATTAGTAAATTCCCCTTGCCTTGACAGGGAGCTACACATCGTTTTCTCCTTCCTTTCAGCGTGTCCCCAGAAACTCTGCTCTATTTATAAATCGCAAGGAGCTGAACGAGTAACTCAGTGAGGCGCGAGTGTCTATTTCCAGCCTCTAAGACTGCTTTATTATTCCTGGGTTCTTCACTTTTTTTGGCTGCAGGGTTGCCATTTATAGCTCAGGTTCAGTGCTCCCCCCCCCCCCACCCCCCGTCTTCACAGAGTCCACATTTACACATGATGATTTATAAGAGCAGATCTGTCTGGTCTGCCCCGCCAGTCGGCTTAGGCCGGACAGATCCAGTGTCCGTCAAGACAGGCGAAAAACTGCAGCCTGGAGGATGAGAGAAGCAAAGAGCAATGAAGTGGGACTGAAAGATAGAGGCAGCCAGCCTACATCTGATGTGTTAAATAAAGACAAAGTGATGGAAAAATACCAACTGTCTGTAGCTTTTACAAGATTTGTGGCTCCTTCATTCCTAACACGACTCTTCTCTCTTCAGGTTGAATCAGCTGACTCGAGCGCATCCCTCTGTCAAGGTATGACCAGGTAAATGGCCTTTTCTCCTAAAGACACTTAAACACCAGTGCTTTCCACATCAGCTCTTCTACAGCCAGTTTGAGAGCTGATGTTAAAAGGGCATTTGCATTTAGAGGGCTCTCTTCTCAATACTTGGCAAGTATCATCTGGAGGCCCCTTCATTTGGAGCCACACAGAACATTCTGACATTTGTGATAAGCATGATGATGGACAAATGATTGGTCTGTGAACTATTTCCCATCGCATTGTACTCAGGGGGTTCAAGGCATTCTTGGTTTGACCAACAATCCGGGATCTTATCAAGACTTTAGCAACCTTTCCTACTTCCTGCCTTTATCAGACTCTCACACAGACTCTGTAATTATTAACTCAGATGAAAAAACACAATAACTGGCAACAGCTTGCCCTTCATAGTGGGACAATGGGGAGCTACTGGAGTTGCCACTAAAGAATAACAAGGATAAACTTTGACTCTGGATAAGAAAGACAAAGAATTTGTTGTGACTTATTCGGAAAGGTTATCATACCTTACCCAAAGGTCAAGGTTGTACACCTTTATCTGACAAAATACTTTAGTGTACTGAAGTGAAAAATGGGTTGTTCATTTGTATAGTTCGGAGCATGTTTCAACACCTTCCAGTAATGTTCCTGTTTGTGTGTCTCATCTGAATGTGAATGGGAAGGGAGACAGAGATATGGATGAATGAATATGTCAGTGAAGGTGCCGTCTTAATCCACCTGACAAATGTCCTGATCTGATTTTCTTGATAAAACTGCACTCTACCAGGAAACTGTAGTTTGAGAAAATACTGAGAAAATAGAGAGAGTTCAACAGAGGAAGCAGTGTGACCATCTGCCAAAAGTGCAGCTCCATGTAATATTTGAGAGCAACGGCCGATTTGGTGGAAAAAATCTGTGGAGGTGCGAAGTCATACAAACAGAGGGAAAAAGTGGCCTCAGGATCTTGCTGACAAGAGTGCCATAGATATTAGAAATACACAGCTGCCTGCAAAAACCTGTTATTTTCCATCCAAATGAATCTCTTTCCTTTCTTTTGTCGATCTGGGCACTTCTTTTTGACATACAGCACATTTAATGCATCAAATATAGAAGAACATTGAACAATAATCCTGGTGCACAGAACATTTATACTCAAATTATGGATCATTACAGTTATTGTGGACACATTGAACATGTTACATCATCAGTGTAAGTCCCTGAGTTTGACACTATAGCAGAACTAGTGAGGTCAAAACACCAACCTGCAAAGGGATCTAGAGATTATCTAATAGTTTCATTAAATCTGTGAAACCTCAGAGACAGGAAGTGAAACATAAATCACTAAAACTGGAAGATGGAAAATGGAAAACTGGAAAATGTAACAAAACATTCCTAAAAACTAAAACTTCGTCCCCCGTCTTGGGTTTTAGCATGTAAAGGTTTAGTACCTCAGAAAGTGTAATATTGCAGCCAATTTTGAGTATGTATTGGGTAACTGCTTCATTTGGTACCAAACAAAGCTGTCACATACCCTGGTGTTTCCAGCTGAGGAAGCTCAGACATGAACTAAAGAGGCAGATTTAGGAGGAAAATAAATCAACTTTTGTAATGAAAAAAGGAGTTACAGTGGCTGGAAGTCCAGAACCATAAATCCAAAGTCTTAAGCAAAACATGACAGGAGCTAAACTAACCAGGGCATGAAAGCCCCTAGACACATTACAGAGATGAACTCTAAGGCTCAAGCAGAAGCAACTTGGAGTAGTAAATATTATATAAAACTGAGACTGTCAAGACAAAAACCATTAAAGTCAGACAAAGTTCAAATGTAACATAGAGACCACAGACTGTAACTAATGTGTAGCCATCAGCTTTGTCCTTTACAGCTGTATGACATTACTGCTGGCAGGGAGACGTTAGCATGAACAGCAAGTGACAGGTGACATGAGAGGCTCCCCCTTTGCCGCCGCACGTATCGTGTTTCAGCAGCAGCCAGAGGGTCTCATCAGCTCCCTGTCACTCACAGCAGCCAGACCATCCCGTCCTCTCTGTCAGAGCGGGATAATTATAGAGAACAGTGATTACAGCTACATGAGGTCAGAGTTGAATGCGCCTGTAGGATTTTCATTCCACCCTGCAGAAGAACTACAACGGCGCTCCGTGACAATTGATTTTCAACTCGTTTGTCTCTGAAAATAATCCAATCAGCACCATGCAAGATGTTTTCCCTTGAGTCTGATTTACAGATCAATACGGTTTTCAGATCACCTGCTCTCTGGTGACAGATACACACACACACACTAACAATTGAAGCTGCAAACACACCTCGCTGTGAAACAAGTGAAGAAGAGGGGATGTTGAATGAGAGCAGACTGTAGCAGTCACTGAGGAGGGTGTTTGGATTAGAAAAGAAACGTCTGTATCTGGCAAGAAGTGGAAGTGAAAGGGGGCAATTTAGCTGAGGAGAGGGAAGATACTACTGCTGAATAAATGAGGACGAAGCGAGGCAGTAATCGCTTAAGCTGTTATACATTACAGGCTATTAATCTCCAGCGAAGCAATCCCAGATACACTGAGATCCAATTAACTTCCTCTGCGGTCCTTCCTGACCGTGGTCACCCCCACGCCGCACCATAGCGTGAGGACATCCCCGAGCTGGGGGCTGTCAAAACATCAGCAGGAGACCTGACTCTGGGCTTCACTCTCATTTATACTGTAACCACAATCCTCTGTTACTCAGGAGGGGAAATTCACATCAGAGGGAAAAAATCCATCCAAACTTTAACAGTTAAAAATGTTTATACAGCTGCAGGCGCATACTTTCCTGCTTTTCGCTCTTATCATTCAACAAAAGCTCCAAGTCCTCAGTCAGCATTGCTGTGTGGGTTAATGGTGCCGGGTAGGGCAGCGACCACAGACCACACACACACTCAAATATACACGCAGAGGAGTGTGAAGCTTGGCTCTATGAGGCTTACAATGCACCCAGAAAAAGGCTCTCAAGATCTAAAGTCTTCCTGTTTCACAGTATGATGAACATCCATTTCTGTTCGTCAGATCATTTCTGCTTTTTTACTCCATGTATTCTTAAATGAAAAGCCATTCAAATCTATAGCTTTGTCCGCAAAGATGTGTTCCGACATGATTTATTGGGTTTAAGTACTCAAGGCCAAAAAGCACTCCGAGCTGGTTTGATCAGACCCCGTTTGGCTGCCAGACCACTCAGCCCTCGCTGAAGCCAACAGTCTCCAGAGCAGTACCGGTGAATAGACGGGCCACTCGCGTCCATATCAAAGCATTAACAGCTCTAATTATGTCTGCATCGCACTGGCATTTTAGCAATGCCGTTTCAAGCTTGGCTCACAAGCAAAATGCAGAGTTATAGCAATTATTGAGATTAATTATAGAGGAAAATGGTTCATTCAAGGATGAATTGGATCCGGAAAAGCTGAACAAAAACATTTTGTTTGCAAAGATCCTCTAATCCTTCTGTTTAAGCTAATTAGTTCTGTTGGGATGTTTCCACGAAGCACATCTGTGTGTCTGAGATCAGCTCTGAGCCTGCCACACTAATCCTGTTGTAGCTGCAGCAGTGGCTTGTGTACTGGAGCATCCCGGGCAACGTAATGATAGACTGCAGCAGACAGCGGGATGCACCGGTTGTCTCTCTCACGTCCAGTCTAAAGAGATCAAAAGTGTGGCACCATGAGCGCTTTACTGTCTAATCTCCCACTGGAGGGTAGTTTTACTTCTGGCGCCTTACTTTCTATTCATGTGAGCTTTTTTCAAGGTAGTTAAGAGATTAAAAATGGGCTGAACAGCATCAGTCTGTACATTCATTTAGCTTTTGAGAGAATTCTTTTTTTTACAGCCCTGTTCGTAAAAGCAGAGTATTTTACAACTGCTCAATTAATAACAGGACATGAACATTTACCGGAATACCTACAGTCAGATGAAGCTCCATCTGGACACACTAGCAGCTGTGTGTTGCTGTGGCTTATGCCTTGTGTACTCTGGATTGGGTGGATCTCCACTGAACATGCTGTTATGTGTTGGTATGCTGCGAGCAAGAAGATATTAAGGTCACAGGCTGGTCCTGGTGTGCAGGCGTTGTCAGGGAAGTCCTACCAGATGGTCCAAAAGCTTTACTCTCAACATTAATTACATGAAAATGTCCTGTGGTGAGGCCAGACTCTAACAGCACTATCTCTTTCCCGTTTTTTCTCTTCCTTAGGTGACTAGCCAATGAGGAGCCGTCTGGAGGTGCCACCATACTCAGCAAAGATGACAAACATGGTGATAACAAGCACGAGCGACTTTTTTTCAAACCCCGCTCATGCCCTACTTCCATTCACCACGCCATGATCATCCGCTTCCTCTTGGCTCCTGCTGCTCTACCCTTTTTTCACTTTGGTGGAGGTTCCTTAAGACTGGAACGAGGGAGCGTCTTGCCCCTCCTTTACCTGCCTCTGTATCACAGATTAGTTCAAAGCTGCTCAGCTGTGCGCTGAGCCGCGCCCTCTGACAGCTCGTGCTTTCCTAAGCTTCGTCTGCGAGGATCCACTGAACCTTCCAGGGAGGCGGTGGGGTGGAAGAGTTCCCTGTGACCCCCTCCGACTCCTGATGCCATACTACTGAATGCTGACCATGAACCTGCCCTGTCTGTCTGCCTGCCTGCCTGTCCAAACGTTTGCCTTTTGTGTGTTCGTCCATCTCTTTCATCGGCTGTCAACCTGCACCAAGTGCCATAGCCTCATTACATTCCTTCAGACTTTGCACTGATCACCAACAACCCTCATGATTCATTGCTGCCTATGTTTACATGCCCAGGACAGTTCAGCCTTTCATTGAGCTGTGCATATGCATCTTTAATTATTTCTAAATATCATCCATAAAAGATTTTTGGTGTCTCTGCTTCAGGTTTTCCACAATTCACACAGCCCTGAGTTTTGGTACTTGAAGCCGATAAACAGACTCCAGTTACATGGAACAAACATTTAAAAACAGCAGTAAACTGTTGTAGGAGGACAAATTCTTCATAGTTTTCATATCTGGTCAAGAAACCTTCCAAATATCAGATAAACCTGTCCATGTTGATTTTAACATTTGCATTGAAATCCTGTTTAGTCAAGATGAATGCAAGGATGTTTGTGTTTCATTTAGCTGTGCGTGTAAACATGGCAGGCAACCAAGAGCCAAATATGTGTAACTGTTTAAAGGCCAGTGAATCAGCCTTAAAAACAGGAGCTTTCACGTCGACATATGTTTTCTTTGACTCTAGGTATGTTTTAATTTTAGCTTTCAGCACTTAAATCAGTTTAGACAGTGCCAGACAACACGGCAGAGAGATTTCTGCACATTATTTTTCACAAGGATTCCTGTGAGTTTGAACTTTCTTCTTTCTTTTTGTGTGTGTGTGTCATATTGATTTGAAACTGGAGGTGGCTGCCTATGATTGTTTCAGAAGGATGATGATGATGCAATTCGAGTGAATTTTGAGCAAACACTGGATTTTATGTTTTTTTAATTTATTATGTATGTGCTTTTCCCAAAAAGAAAATGGTATGCCACTCTTTCTTCACTTGGAAATCAGGTGGCACCTGTGTTTTGTGCACATGAGAAGCAATACAGAGGATAAAGACAGAAATTGAGGAAACCGACCATTTCCTATCCACACTGCCTTATCAGTGAGCTGGGTTTCCCTTTAAAGGGTAGCTCCCTGATGGTTGGTTTTGGATTTCTGGACACAACAACACCCACACAGAGACGGAGCCGCTTTTAATGATGGATTCCAATCCAGTACTCATTGGTTACAATAACAGGCATTGTGACGAGAGACCTTTCCCCCGTGCAATTTTAGATATCTAATTCCATTCTTCGTAGAAAGGAGCTTTGAAAAGAGCTGGAGCCAGAGTCATCACTTTATTACTGATTATCATCAAAATCTGAGGCAGGAACAGGAAATCCTGCAGCTTTCGGTTGAGACTGATGGTTAGCTCTTATCTATTATAAGTGAGGAAAGGACCTCAAATATGTCTGCCGGAGCGAGGAAAAAAAGAAAAAGAAAAAACACATCCCCACCTGCACTGCAGAGTGACAGAAATGTGATAAATGTCAGAGTATAAATCAGCTGTGGGCTCAAATGCTTTGGAACTACCTGTCATAAAACACTTTTGATGCAGCCACTTGCCTCAAAGGTTTTAAAACTTGTGCATAAAGGGAAAGAAAGCACTTTGCAGAAATATGAGGAGGAGGATGGAGGATGGACTGACCTTAGCTGAAGAGTGAAAGAAGACGCTGTGGTTGTTCTCGTGGCAGTGGTGTGTGTGCGTGACTCACTGGCTGTGTGTGGGGTGCCGTGTGGGCCGTGTCCTTGATGCAAGATCATTAGCTTTAGCTTCTCTCCCACTGCGTGGAGCTCTCTGAATGTGAATGTGTCCAACCTGACGTGTTTACACACCATTTTCTTCTTAATGAACTAAGCTTCTTACCTTTCATTTATTGATTTTCTGTCTTTTTTAATGCTTCCAAATGAGTTTTTAATTACTACAGTAGATATATATATATATATGTATACTTACATACATATATATGAATACGGCTATATCACGCATTAACTTTAATATATTGTAAATGATGGCTTGGATGCAACGTATTTATTTGTTTGTAATGAAGAATGATCTATAAAGGGAAGTTTAAGGTTTTGAATATATTACACTTTATTGTGTCATTGAGTTTTAGATGCCTAGTTGTTTCACATCTTTTTGTATCACAATGAAACAACACAATACCTTTTTACATCACTAAGATTCACCCTGTTTACTGTGATCATGAATTGGACATCTCACTCAGTGCATGTGACGTTTTTAACACAACTTACTGGTCTCATCCTATGAATGCATTACTTTTTGCGTTCATTTTTGTAGCTCTTGTATGCTTTTATTTTATTTTGGGTTTTTTTGTCTTTAGAACATGTTATCAAACCATTTTGCACATTTAAAGTTCAGGGATTTATTTGAACCACAGCCTAGTATCAACTTCACACCCTCTGCTGCAGAGGCTTGTCACTTCATGCTCACAGTAAGTGCTGACAGACAGTTGTCAGCGCGGAGGTTGGCTCTGGTCAGATGGGTCATGAATTGAGTTTCACTTTGCCAAAATTGAACTAATTTACCACCAGTCCTTTAGCCTGTTGTATCAATTTACTCTGTTAAAAATCACTGAAGTGATGTATTGAGAATGTGCTATTTCTTGTCATACAAGAATCCTGTATAAAGACACCTATTTCTGATTTTGAGCAGAAAACAGAGGTAATTTTTATTTTTAGAGCAAGTCAGTTCAGAGAAGTGTCAAATAAATCAAAGGATGTTATTGTAGAACTCAGCTGTGATGCTCCTGCTGGAGGAGTTGATAGAAAATGTACATGTCTGTAAATCAAATAAAACTATTTAATCTCTTCACACCACTGCATAGTCTGTGTTTCCTTTCATTGCACCACATCCAAACACACCAATACTGGAGGAGTGGTGGTGTAGTGGTTAGCATAGCTGCCTTCCAAGCAGTTGACCTGTTGACCTGGGTTCGATTCCTGGCCAAAACAGCTCCTCCCTACCCTGTAAGTCGCTTTGGATAAAAAGCGTCTGCCAAATGCATGAACATGAACATCATTTACTCTAAGAGATTTCCAGGATTTTGTCTTACTAGAGATTAAGAAAACGTTAGTGTGATTTTACCACAAACATATTCTTTTTTTTTCTTAAATAGATTGTACTAAGTATAAGGTCCATTTCGAATTTTCCATTTTTTCAATGTAGCAGGCGATCTTTTTAGTATGATAGTTGGTTAAAGATAGGAAGCTGCAAATATTGATGAATAAAGCATGCATTTTAAAATGTAACCTAACATAAAATAGTGAGAAAAAAGATCACGAACAACCACCATAAAGTGTGGAATATTCAGCAACAGGGTAACTATTTTATCATCTAATAACAAGGTACATGTTAGATCCAGTGTAACAGATGGAAAAAGAAAACTGATATATTTCCATACTGAATAAGACTTTTAAAAGACATTTTGAGAAAAAACCCAGAAACTAATTAATAGATTGTTGGATGTCATGCCATTTTTTCTAACTTGGTGTGAGTTTGAAATGTAAAACATGAATGATTGATTTGGAAAAAATCTGTTAGATGATATATTGGTTGTCTCTACTTATCTGAATGATTATTGCACTGACTTGAAGTTTGTTTTTATATCTTGATACTTTTGCTTTTGAGCAACCAATTTTGACTTATCTGGAACTGAACCTTTTTGGCTAAGCAACTGTTTTTATGCAGTCTTTAAAGTTTTGAAAATCACTTGTATCTTAAATAATGAGAGAATCTGATCTTGGTAGCTACTTAACTCTGGTTTATGTTCTTGTGAAATGGTTACATTCTGTGTTTTTTCCAGCTCCACATACAAAGGGAGGTCTTATTCTGAACATTACTTTTTTAGATTTTTGCTTACTTTTATTCTAATTTGACGGCAATCTGTTGAGCTTACTTTGGAGTATCACTTCGTGCATCTTTTCATCTTAAGGATGTTTCAGGTCAAAAGTATTCCAACCATTCTGTACAGAAATAAACACCATGGTTTTCAAATTAGATCCCATTACATTCCTCCTGTGCTCGTCTTTGGGGTGGCTTACAAAGACTTGATTTTTTCTGCAGTTAGCGGAGCCTGGAGTTGATCCATGAATGAACTACTTTATTGTTCAGGTTCAGTCAGGCAGGCCTGTGAGAGGCTCAGTTTGTAAAATAATCTTGTGGCCCCCGGAGTGGTTTACAGAGGCAATGTCACATCACAGGCAAAGGGCTCCATCCATACTGTGCAGCCTAAAGAAACAACATAATATTTTCCTTCAGAGGAAGTCCTCGCTGAAACGCTCCTGTTCTGACGTTCACTAGAGAGAGCCATTAGCTGATTTAGCAGCTAATAGCACTAACGGACATGCAAATGAGAAGGCTAAACAAGAACAAAGAGTGTATGCACTGTATTTGTGACAAAAGAAGACTTGAGACGCTGGCAGTGAGGCCTCTCATTAGGCAGAGCTACATTTAAACAGACCCCACTTTATCTGACATGACATCAGATTGAAGAGTGGAAGATTATATAGGAGCCAGAGGAAGCTCAAAGTGGAGAATTAGTGCTTGGTTGGTGAATGACCCAGAGAGACCAACACCCTTTCCCACAGTGAGACAGATATGTACCCCTCCTGTCAGATGCTCCCATCTAAAAGTCAACACACCTAGTCATGCGGCAGGCAGGAAAACACTGGGGCGTAGACAGGAAAAGGGGAGCCGTTCTGGCAAGCAATGGAATTTCCATTTGCACTTTGCCACTTAAACTCACAGAGGACAAATTTCATACAAGACACGGGGTCAATTATGATGAAAAACAGTCACTGGAGGATGTGAAGCATCAAAATGTCAGCTTGTTCTGAGTTTCAAAGCTGGCCATCCTCTTTTTAATGCGAGCGTGCTACTTCAGGGCACGACACCATTCTGTCTCAAAATGTATTCAGCTGAGGATGAGGAAGAAATGCAGTTAGATCTCTGTGGAAAAACATTTTCATTGTTTAAAAAATGAAAAACGGCTGACTAAACGAAAGTAAAACAGGTTTGTTACAGAATGAGCCCAAAATGAGGCTCTTGGCTCCAAAGCAGTTAAGTAGATGGTGCAACAATAGATCAGTTTTTATAGCTTTAACACACACAGTCAGCTAAAAAAACAAACATGTAAAGGCTTAAATTTAAAACCTTGAGTGGTTTGAAGCGTAAATTAGATGTGTAAATGTCACAACAACTTGTTACAAAATTAGAAGACAATAGATCTTATTTATTGAATCTTCGCGGTTGAGGGTTTGAAATAACAATGTCAGCAACCAAGACACACACTGTTCCTCTGGGAATAACTTCATTTTGAAGGAGGTGTCATCGTTTTGATTTATGTCTTTTATATTTGGAGGGGGATAACAATGACTTGGCCCATCTTAAAGCAAATATTTGAATGAACGAACAATCCGGCTGCATAGAAGACATTTGTGGTTGGATTTATTGATGCAGTACAGATGAAGATCTGAGCACAAGTCTAAGATAAACATTAAACAGAAGCATGTACAATTTTCACCATCGCACTTTGACTGTGAATTTCTCACCTATATGTGCTGCCACCAACCGACTTTTCCAACCCACCTCACAGTGCAAAAGCACTGTTACCTCCATTAAAGCGAGAGGTGGAAATATCATAGAGGACCCGGTTTGTGCTTTGTTACATGATGACATATCAGCCTTTAATTGATTATATCTGATTTTATCCACTAATATAGTTGGTAACACACTGTGGGACACCAAATATTCAATAATGAACATTTCTAGATATATTTTCAATCTTTTTAAAGAACTTATTATTTGTATGCCAAGCCCTATCTGAAAATAAAATGCAAACTTACATAAAAGATTTACACTGGCCCTCACAGCAAATTATTCTTCCCACCAACAGGACTAAATTGAGCAGATTAAGCTGAGTAACACAAAACAAGGAACTAAAAATGACTTGAAGCTCGTTGTACAATTTACTGGGAATGGTAAAAATAGCTTTTGGCTCACTTGATGCTGGGACGTGGTCAACGGCTGTCATCAGGAAGTAAAACACAAGCAACATTTTTAAAAAATTGTGAATACCTGCTGGAGAAATGGATCACAATTATAAAATCTTATAAATTCACTTTTGGTGTTAAAATGACAGAGATGCGGTCTGTTTGTTTGGTTTTCAGCTTCTTCGGCTGAATAACAAATTATCCATCAGTTTCAAACTTAAGCCTTGATTAGGTTTGAATAGATTATGTCACAGCAAAGGGCAAAGCTATAAAAAAAAATGAAAGGGCCACCAATATTTTTAGGGCAACGAGCAATGACTTTTGGATAGTCCACACCCAGAGACACTGACAAGGACAAGGTCAACGTGAGGCTTCTTCCTTTGTGGAGATTATGCTGGCTTTGCAGTAACAATAAAACACGCAGTCCACGTCTAACAGCTGAGAAAGGCTCCTTCGCTCTCTCTGCTGTTGTCGGGGAATCCTTTTCAGAGATGTGCTGCTCTATAGCCGGCTGACCCGCAGCTGTCAGACTGTGCATAAATGCATGTTCTGCGACCTCATTAAGGAGCTGACACGTGTGCCGAAGGACGCACGATGCCCTCTGCCTCTTTGCTGTCTGCCCGTGTGGAATAGATATGAGATGTGCTTCATGTTAGGTTGATTAATGTAAAAAAAAAAAAAAAAAGGGGGAGGGGGGAAAACTTTAACTACTCAAGATGACATGCAACGCAGGAAATCTTCAGGCCTGCTGTCACTGAGGCAAAGTATGAGAGGCTGTTGAGATCATTTGAACAGCTTTAATAAAGACTTTGAGGTCCTAACTGGCATGGGATATTAATTTGATTTGTATGCTAGCTAATGAGGATGTAATGTAATTGACAGTAGCATAGTGTTACCGCAATATGCTTGTTATGTGCCGCAGTGGGTTTGGTGTCCGGCTAGAGCAAGTGGGAGCTATGAATACCAGAGTTTTCTGAATTAAACATGAGCTTTTGCGTGAGTTGGCAAAGACTGAATGATGTCGGTTGATTTAAGTTGCTATTTTTGGCTCAAATGCTTCCATATTTAGAACTGATGTTTCCACTGCGGCATAAGCTGATTCAGAGGACCATCCAGGGGCAAGTGATGCGTGTGTCCATGTGTGCACGATAGCATCCGCATTCATGTGTTCCATACATAAGGAAGAGGCATGGAAGCAGCTTTGTGAATGACTGAATGTATTGAAGAGCTCAGTTAAAGGCAGTGAATGGCAATAGCTCCATGAATGAAAGCAGAGGGGCGAGTTGTATTCTATACGCAGAGTAAGCACACACTCGTACACACATTACAAACAAAAGTCTCTTTCAAGAAGCCAGACAAACAACCCACACCTTCAAAAAACACAGGATTATATGCACTCGAGCAGCTGCTTTACTTGTAGTGTGCAGGAGATTTGGTTAATTGCATTATTATTAAAATTTAAGTAAGGTTAGATTTTGTTAATAAATCATTCAAAAAGCTTCTGAAAACTTTTTCATAAATAATTCTAATGCAATGTGTTTCTCTTGCACTGAAGAATTTAATGCTCTAGTTCTGCTGATAATCATTGTGACGTTCAAAACTTTTGGAGGTGGAAAACTTTTCTAAATTTGAAACAAGAAGGGAAAAATGAGCAGTTATCAAATAAAGCTTTTTGTGGCTCTTTTGTATCCCATAATGGCATCTACTATCTCAGTAGGCTCAGTTGTTTCCTATGTGCACTGAGTTTGCAATCTGCTATGAAAAGCTATAATTTATCTTGCATTTACACAGGCTGAATTAACCAAACTAAAACTTCCTCAGACAACTGGAAGCATAACTTCTTATTTTAAAGCTTTATATAAAAAGGAGTGAGTATATATTCACTGACTATGTTTCAGGCCTTTTGTGTTATTTTGTGTACATTGAATTTTTAATTATTTCTGTAGTTCCAGGATATGAAATCTTAGAGCACATCCATCAAAATGACAGGCTGTAATCCTTCAAATGAAGAAAAAACGATGGGGGTCGATCATTTTGAAAGGCACTTTCATTAAAACGTTCCATTGACGGAGTGGGTGACATACTGTATGCAGCAGAACTTACACTTCCCTGGGAAAACATATGTTCCGAATCTGTTACACTCTGATACCACAATCACAACATCAAAGCTTGTACACAGACAGAAAAAGCATCAGACATTTTTTGAAACACGAGCAGTGTGACTCATGAGAGTTTTTCTTAGCCTGGTGCTGTGCTTTGATTGAAAATATCTAACTTGCTGGAATTTCCGTGGAATTTGACCAGTTTGTGGTTCTTGGGAGATGAAATGTAATGATATTTTAGAGGAGGATTTTGGAATTACCAGGACTTGAACCTGGTTTATGAAGTGATTACGAGACTGTTCATATGAGTAAGGCGGGGGCTGTTTGTTTAAAACCCCCCCAAAAAAACTGTTATCATCATCAGTTATGACCCACCTAATGATTAATGTTTTTTTCCCCCTAATCTCCAAACAGTGTAACATCCAAACCTGAATTGTGCTTTAATCTTTAACCAAACCAAGTAATCTTTAACTCCTTTCTACCAGATGTCCCAGAGGCAAGACAGGAAGAGGATTATTTCTGCTGGCAGTGATTCCATACTGTCAGATAATCATGGGTAACTCACTAAAATCAGTCCACAGAGACAACTGCTGCTTTTTGTCTTATAAAGTCTTAATACTGAAGGCTGACATGTTATTTCTATATCATTTTGCAGGTTTACGGTGTTCCAGGCCACATTTCTGTAACGTGGCCAGGAAAGTGTGGTCAGGAATAACAAATTGACCGATCCGAAGGATGTTTTTTTAAAATGATGTCAGTCGTTTAACATGATTCGTGTAGAATCGTTTGATTTGACACCGTGCATGGTTTAATTTCTCTTTGTGCGTCTTTGCCTTAACCTTGATCTTCAATCATAAAAGGAAACATTCACTCTTTATCATCTGTAAGCATATGATGCCAGGTGTACCTGGGGTGACCTTCTTCTCCAATTTGACCACAGGAACCACATGCTCTGTTTTTGTACATATGGCAGAGAAAAAAAGGGACGAGGATTTATTTTTTCTGTGAGGCCTCGGGATGTTTCCTTCAGTTCTGTACTTACAGGAACAACCCGTTCCAAACGGATCTTAAATCCGAAAGATCCTATTTAAAGAAGATGACATCACAGAGAGAAGTTGGCAAGAGAGAAACTAAAATATACACAGAATGTGTGGATAGGACATGTGAAAGAGGGTGGTACGAGAAGAATTCATCATTGTTTTCTTCAGTTTCCATTGCTGTCTTGCTGAGGTTAAAAACTTGACTTTCTGGTTACAAAAAGGTCACATCTGCTTTGAGGGGTCAACGTGGTAAAAAAGTGCACGAGTCAAGTGTGAAGTCAATACAAGTTTACTGTACCAGAGAGACCTGAATAGGTTTCATAACCTGAATTAGGCTTTTTAGTCCCTACAAGCTGTGATCATCAGCTTATCAGGAGAATGAAGCAACCGGGCTTTAAAAACCTTTTTCTTGTCGTGAGAAGGGTCAATTTTTAATATCTTAATTTTTTTTTACATTCTGACTATATGAATGAAAACCCAAGAGGAGCTTGGGTAAAACACTTTAACACGAAACTTAGATTGTGGTTCTACAGCAGTCGCAGTTTCTATATGTGATTGTATTCAGGTTTCATTTCAGGTTGTCTGGTGAATCGACCAGTTTATGCCAAATCAACATCCCAATTACCTGAATTGATCAACAATTCAATTTCCTTCCTGAGTGATGTTTTTTTTTTTTTTGGTTTGGCCACATTTAGCTAATGACTTTCATATGGAAAGGGAAAACGTTCACTGACCCTTGACACAGTCAATAGTGCAGAAAGCGTTTCTGCTATGGTGACCCAGAGGAAAATCGTCAGTCTGTGCCCTTTGTTGGCCCAAAGTGATTTGCAGAATTCTGGCATAGTTTGGGCTCTATAGAAAAATAAATAAAGGTCACAAGATGTGAGTAGCACCAAAATGGCACAACATGTTGGTATGCTGCACAGCTTTGTGTCCTGTGGACATCTGTGGACATCATGCAGACCAAGAACGGGAACCAGTCCAAGAAAACCTGCTCACACCCAGAGGGGCTGAACCAAATGTGATCCTCAAACACACAGACAAACAAATGTCCCCCGTCACGTGTCCAACTCGATGTTCATTTACAGGCACTGCAAATGGGTGAAATCCTCTTTGACTAGGATCAGGTGACTAATTTTTCTGTTTGTTCAAATTCTGATCAGGACGCCCATGTTTGAACATAACAGACGCATATTTCATCAAAACACAGTGAGCTCATCACATCACTGGGGTCGCATCCTGTTTTTACAAAAGCCACGTAAAGTTTAGTCCCACCTAAAGCCAGGCAGGTAATGTATCAGATGGAGTCATCTGCAGCAGTCAGCAGTCTGATGGGCAAAAGATTTACTGACCAGCTACCATGTGAAATATAGGCTGCACCGATTTACTGTCATATGCAGGCAAAGCTATTTTATCTACAATGGTTCCCTCCGGGTGTACCGACACCCAGACATCCCTTTCAGCTTCTCAAATTAAAATTCTTTAATCAAATTGGCTTTAAAAATCTAAAACAGCAATAAAAATCGACCCTCTAATGAGCATATTGTGTTTGTACATTAATTTGTTTATCGATTAATGATAAAGGGAGAATGATTCAGTAGGAAGATCATTTAGGGACTTCTGCAATGCAGTTCGAGGGGTTCGTTATGAACAGCTCCAGCAGCAGTTTCCTGCAAAGTCTGTGAGATCTTAGACTGCCACCTTCTGGTAACAAGTTAATAGTGTAGTGCCTTCATCTTTATGTTACAAAGGGATGTTCATGAAAATAAAAGGATGATTAGACATAAAAATTATTACTGACCTGCTGAAGTTGTCAAATAAGGGTTAGAAGCTTACAATCTGTGGGAAACCCTGAACTAACCCCTGTGTGGCTTAATTAAGGGTGTGTTTCACTAATACTAACTAATCTGAAATTGAACTGAATCCTTCCCCCACGTGTTAAAGTTTGCTCCTTAAAGCAAATAAAGGAAAGAAAACTTTAGAAGGATTGTAAAAAGGCTGTTTAATTATTTTCAAAACGTAAACCATGTAAAGTCAAAGCAAAAAAAAAAAAAAGAAAGAAAATTGAGGAACAGAGGAATGGGAGTTCCTGCCACAAGGCCTCGATGAACAGTCAATTCAGGATGGATTCGAATCTCAAAAGTTAGAATTCAAAGGAGAATCAAAAGGGCAAACCTGTCTTCAATTCTGAATGTAACCCAGTTCTGAACAGACTCAATGGCTAAAAACAGTAACACTTCACAGAAAAGGCTGTCTTCTTCCTTATGAGGTGTCCATTGCAGCAGCTTCTGAAACATAGAAAGCCATAATTATTTCACCAATAAAGTTTAACATTTATATATCACATCAAATTTCAAAATGAAAAGAGGACAACAAAAGCGTCATGCTCAAGCCTGAAAATGATTGTTATAATTACTCTGATGTAAAGCCACAAATTGACATCACAACAGCTTCCTCTGGGTTTGTGTACATTCTGATGGGAAAGAATAAAATAAATAAAATAAATAAATAAAAAAACAACCACACACAGAAGGGGAGGGGCAAACTCACGTGTTTCATTAAAGAGGAAGGAGTCCTGGTACTCCTTCATGTACTGAGAGGATCTGGCCTCATCCAGGAACAGAGAGTAAACCCTTTTGATGTCTTCCACCTGCACTTCTGTCCCCTGAAGAGGCCCAAAGGCAAATTAGATGGACGCCAAAGACTATCACAAACCACACTAGAGGAATATTAATTGGCCAATTTCCCCCTAAAGTTGCTCACCTTGCGTTTCCGGCACACCAGACCTGCAGTGCTGATCAGCTGGATGGCGTAGCGCAGCGACGTCTCCATGCCAATGCGAGTGAGGACCGTGTGGGCTTCTTCGCTCAGCTCCACATCCTCCTCCTCGCACCTAAAACGAAGAGCCGGGTTCATTTTCCATCTTCGAGGCTTAGAGCATAGGACTTACGTTTGTTGACAGATTATTAACGCGGGCATTCACCTGATCTTGAGGATCTGCCTCGTCTCCTTTTCAGTGTAAGGGGAGGTGGCGATGATGAGCAGCCGATCCAGCAGGTCGATGGGGATGCCGTGAGGGCTTTGGTAGTTCGTGCCCCGGATCCTGCATGGAAACATAGTCACAAGAAATGAGACAAGAAGAAAATGTTGTAATATTAAGAAGAATTCTCCTCTGACATGCTAGCAAATGAGTGGACAAAAGACACACGCCACCTAACAAACCAGCCTAAATAAACTTAAAAAACAAGACTAAATCTGCAATGGAGGTGCACAAACGCTACCGAGTGATGCCTCTGTTGGTCGCCATAATGAGAACGGGGGACAGGTCGCTCTCCAGGGCACGGTTCAGGAAGGAAAAGCACTCCATGTCCAGCATATGGACCTCATCAATAAATAACACCTGAAACCACAGTCAGGGGACGTTCGTTAGGTCAGAGCATGCCGGCAGCCAACACAAAGACGCTCAGTCAGGTACACATACCCCGGGAATAATCTCGGCCTTCCCTTCTTCCCTCCACTCACACACTTTGGCATTAATCTGTTCACGGACTTCGGACTTGATCTCACCGGTGTCCCCGGAGAACAGAGCCAGGAAGCCTTGTGTGCGGCTGTTGATGACATCGATCTCGTGGAGGGACACTGTATGCACCACCTCCTTCCTCTTCTGCAGCTCCCCCTCAGGACACTGTACAAACTGGGTCTAAAGAGAAAAAGAAAGGAAGAGAAAGCCATCATCTCCATGGGCTTCTGTTCAAGTCAGTTTTATCTGTGACTTTTCATCAAAGAATGACTATGATGATGGAAAGCAGGTGACTAAAGACATTAAAGACTAAGTATCGCCTAAGATAAAGGTGTTACCAGCTTTGACATTTATGCCAAAGACAAAGCAAAATCTAAAATGCAGATTTTCTAATGCAACAAGAATCTGCAGCATTACATGTGATGATGATATTTTCTTAAGACGGGCATATGCTGTACATCCAAACCGAGAGCTGCAGAATGTCCAAGGTGTGTGACATGTGGGTGCAAAGGCTGGTTCCTGGAGTTAGTATGGTGCGTAATGAACTATAAATCTGTCACTCTGACATACCTGAGCTCCCATGGCGTCATAGTCTCTGGCTCTGGTGAAAGAACGTCCCAATTTGCTGATTTTTCCAGTGGCTTTGTCAATGGTAATAACATCTCTAAGAACAAAGGGGGGGTACAAATTAATTAAACGTCATTTTTTAAACAACTTTTCGAATTGAATTTTTGCTCAGCATGGTTATTTGTTTACCTGATAGACCAAAAACTAGATGAGACAATAAACCATCTTGTCGTGCACAAATCAATGAGAAAAAGAGCAACTCACCCAGCTTGAACCTTTTCTTTGCTGAGACTGTCAATCATCTTATTCCCCAAGTCGTATATTGTCTCCATCTCAGTGGTCTTTAAAGTTAGCTTGCCCACTTTAGCACCCTGGTTTAAAACATGTCAATTTTAGTTAATGTAAATCCCTTATTCAATGACTTTTAGTATGAAAAGGCTGACTTTTTGTCCATCATTATGTAATTCCTGCCTCCTACTATTACCAATTACCAATGTTGCTTTATTGGTTTAATAAAGCAACATTTAAAAGTGTATGATGCAGTAAACATTGAACACGTTTGCAGCCCGACAGTAAAAGCATCCCACCGTTCCAGTGGCAGGTCTGTCAATCTGGATTTCCACAACCTCTCCTTCAATTATTTCCGTTTCTTCTCTATAAAGGAAAGAAAAAACACAGTGAAAAGTAGTTCATTTTTTAGCAAAAAGACGTAGAAAACACAATTACTGTGTCTGTTGACTCACTTGATCCTCACACCAATGGCTTTTCTAAAAGCTTGGCTCAGTGCCTCAGTTTTGCTCATTTCCAGGGAGAAGATCTCACTGCCAGCCAGTGCTGTAAACGGTGTATCAGGGCCAAGAGACTGAGCTATGCCTGCGGGACAAAAATGTAATGAACAAATCTGAACCCAGTATCACTTCCAGCCAATAAAGGGGCCAATCTTTTAAAAACTTCCCGCAGTTCTTACCCATCGCAATGGCAGTCTTTCCAGTGCCAGGTTGGCCAGCGATCAGCACTGCCCTACCAGCAATGTGGCCATCTTTGATCATCTCCAAGATGATCCCTGCAGCTCGACGGGAGGCCAGCTGGCCAACCATCCCCTGAGACACCTGCAGGTGAACAGATTCAACACCAATGAATACACACATCTGCCTTTGACAGCTTATTGATGATCAATGGTGTTTAATCTGATTTTTAAAAAATCTGCCACAGTTGATCTATTGTTAGTTGATGCTCTGTTGGAAAACTTGTATTCAGTATTCACTGTATTGTCACATTATGGCTGATTTAAGAAGCATCGAAGGCTTTACCCTACCTGTCTTGGCTCCAAAGCATCATCCAAGCCGAGACCACGAATGTGAGAATGGGCCCCTGATTAAAAGGTAATAAAAATTTCACATCAGAGCCTGGTACTGATTGCATAAACACACTCACTTATTGTACTCAATATTTAAACTTGATGAAGATTTCAGTAGATGCAGATTCTTACCGATTCTCTCAATTCGTGTGATGTCACGAACCTCTGGAACTTTTGTAGACGCCATCTGTAAAAAAGTTCAAAACAAAGAGTACACATGTTGGTAAAAGAAAATCCAAATCAATCTAAATTTCCTTAAAAAGGACTAACTGTTCCACTTCGTTTATTCATTGTAGTCACACTAGATGTTAAATACATAAAATGCAACAAAAAAATAAATAAGATCGTTCCCAAAGTTTTGAATACTCATGGGAAACTAGGTTTAAAAAGTACGTTGGACCTTGTGAGGCCAATGGAATCACCTACGTCAGTCAGCCGTCACCCCAGATAGAAGAGAAATATAAAAGTTTCTGCAATCCTGACCAAAAAATCCGGTTAATTTTCCATCAACAATATAGCAAACAATGTTAGAGGAGGCTGTTGTGTCCAGTCGGTTGTCATAGTTACAGCTTCAGCGCATGACACAACAGAACAGCAGCACATCAATACCACTGTTAGCAGACGGACTTCCGTTTTTCAGTCATTTAAATGTTTTTATGGCATCAGCCACGAAGAACTCGTCGATTGTACAACTAAAAATTAGAATCAACGTATACACACCCACACAACAAGTCTACCACTATCAAAACAAGGAAAAAATAATAACATTTATTGTTAAGACTAGCTAACGTTATGCTAGCGAATTAGCTAGCTCCATTCATACCTGTTTTTACACATAACCGCAACGTTCCGATATATAAGGACGCCATACGTGTTTGAATTCCTATGTTGTTACTCCCAATACAAAAGCTGCTACAAGAAAGGATAAAATTCAGGAATATGACTTATTCATAACATTTATTAAAGGCGTATACACTCACCTGTCTAACCACACTTCATAAAATGTGAGAATGCGGCGCTTCTTTCTGAAAGTGCACCGGGTAAATGTGTCCGAGAGGAAACAAGTTCTTTTTTTTTCTTGAGGGGTATTTTAAAAGGTGACTGCCATCTAGTGACTCGGTGGTAAATAACAACTAATTAAACACGCAAGCCAAGTGGAATACAACAGTAAAATATGGATTTGAAAAAGCTTATCAAGATACATACGGTCCCAGTTTATCAAACAAGTTACTTTTTACATGTTAGAATTAAATTTACATGTATGCATTTAGCAGATGCTTTTTTCCAAAGCGACTTACAAAAAGAGGGTTTAACATTCAACTACAACACCAGTTACACAATTGCCTTACCTTGAGTGCAATATGATAGAAGAGGAATTAACATTAAGGATTTTACAGTCAACTATGAAATAGATTGGAAGTCTTCAAGGATTTCCTGACCAAGGAAAGATGCTCCTGATAGTGCTTGTAAGGTCGTTCCACCAGTGTGGAACTGGAGATGAGAAGAGTCTAGATTGATCTGTTGGCCGTGTTAGCCTGATATGATTCATAGTGAAGTGTAATGTAATTAGATCATATAGATAATTCTATCTATAGATAATTATATAGATAATTCTATATGATGTATAGGGGGTTTGTAACATGTTTATTTTCTAAGGAATCTGTTTGCTTTCAAATGAGGTAATCTTAAAAATATCTATTTCCATACTTCTCAATCCGGATATTACAACAAAAAGTACAGGTGGGAGAGAATTTGTTCAGGGAGGTAGTATGTTTGACATACCTTATGGTACTGGCTTTTTCAAACATAAGGTAATAGAGTAGGGCAAACAGCAGATCTAATCTTTGGCAAAGCAGATAGAGCAGAACAGTACAGTCAAACACTTTCCATCCTGTTTCAATCTCTAGCCTCTCTAACAGTGTATCATGCTGTCACAAAATAACTTTGAAGAGACTCCAGTCACATCTGACTTGGTAAGCAGCACCGAACACATTTCACCACCAGGGGTAGGAAAGTTTCAGTCTCACAAATGTAAGAAAAACCATGAGTCAGCATTTTTGGGGCAGTAATCTCCATCTTTATGCATGATGTTCGTCACAAAGTTATTGCCAGATAAGTTCTCATGATAGGGAATTCCTTTCTACCAAGTACATTGTTTTCTAACTGTGAGATATCAAGTCACATGAGTGAGTCCCAGTTTCATATCCTCTCCTTTGTGTTCTTCAAAGTGCCCGTCACAGGACAAGGTTTCCTCAAAGAGAAATGACTGAACTCTAACACAACCACAGTGTCATGCTGCAGATTGATTGTGGTACATGACCAAAATCCTGATTTCCATAAACAAGTTGATGACTGATTTCTTTAGAGTATGTCACGATGACTAAGCATTAGTTTCACCCGTTTGTTATTCCTCTCAGTTGTGCTTCACCTGTTCCTGCAAAATACTTCCCAAACCTCTCAGAGAGCCACAAAACCAACACTGCTGTTCAAACAAAAAGCTCAAGTATTCCACAAAGTATTTTGTTTGCCTCATTCAGACTAAAAAACATGTCTATACTTTATACTGCTGCAGATCAGGAGAGTGTGCAGTAGAGACAGAGGAAATGAAGGTATAATAGCTAATAGCTATAGATAATTAAACAATACTATCACAATTTAATATGAGGTATCAAATGTTTATTGGTAGAAATAAGTATAATAACAAAAGATCATGGCAAGTACAGATTACATTGTTTGGAAACATTGTTTAAATGCTTGTCTCTGCAACCCTTTACATTTCACATGTTGATTTGAAGCATATTCACATTCATTACAAACAGTGCCCCCAGATAACCATATATTTCATGGGGTAATAAAACAACTTATCTATTCTTTCAACAACAAAAAAAATATATATATGTATACACTTGTAGAGCCTGTAATCACAGAGCTGTAATATTTTCTGTAAATTGTTGTACAAACATCATTGAACGTCATGTAATCACAGCTGGATGACGGTGATGGCTGACTCGTACCAAACCCAGAAGCCAGGATACACAGCTTCACTGAAGGAGGCCTTGAAGCGGTGAATAAGAGCCATGGTCTCCCCTACAGAGTAAAAAGAGAGAGTGCCCCCAGCGTGGTCCAAGAAAACCCCGATGCGGGAGGAGTAGGGAGCGTTGATATCTATCTGATCCTTGCTGTGGCGGGCTGAGAAGCTGGAATCAGAGCAGAACAGGCTCCAGGACTTCCGGTTGTAGCCGATACGGCAGCCATCGCCGTAGCCCTGTCTCTTGATGCCTTTGTAGGCGACGCCAATGGATGCACCTTCCCCACTCCAGTCCACCTCCCAGTAGTAAGCACCTCCAGATAGGGGCTCCCTACACAGAACCTGGGGCAAGGAGTCAAACCTGGCATGGTTGTCACTGTAAGACTGGGGGTCTCTCTTAAGGGTAGCTTTTCTATTCCCTCGAGACAAGTAGAGCTGTTTGTAAGCTGTGTTTGGGTCCAGGGTGAGCTGGCACGCATCTGCAAGATAAATTGAACGCTTAATTAAACAGAGGAAACATTCAACTTAAACTGTTTGGCTTAAATATACTTTAAGAGCACCAGGACGAGTGAAGCTTTTGTTACACACCCGCTCAAAACCCCCTCACCATTGCACCACCAACTCAAAGGTCCCAGAGGTTAGTAGAATGTCAGTAACACTTCTATCTCTGTTAGATGTTTAACTAACAACTGCAGCAGAATGCTTCAACAGGGAAAAAAGGGAGACCCTCTGGCTGGTAACAACACAAAATCAGAACAAACACAGAGGTAAGATGTCACCTGCCTGCTGTGTACCTTTGCCTCTGCAGTTCACAGTTGGTGGGACAGCCGGTGACCTCGGCTAGTTCTGCCCGGCCTATTATCTGGAATGCCAGAAGTATGAACACTGTTTGTGAGTTTGACCACAAACAGATGTTACCAAGCACCTTTCACTGTATGTTTATACCCGTGAGCCTCCAAATTTATTTCAGGTCAAATTTGTATCTGAATTAGGAGCATATTTTTCATTGCAGTATGAATTGCTGCTCAAAGAAAATAAGGAGAATTCACTTAAACACCTGTGCAGGTGCCAAGAAGGGAAAAAAGGGCCAAACTTTCAGTCCCAGTTTTCTGACACTGTGGGGCATGTAGTTGCTTCTAAAAACAGATTTTGCGGTCAGCCACAGGGTCTGATAGAGAATATCATCAGAATCTAATTTGCGTTATGCACTGGCATGAGTGGAGAGAGAGGGGCACTGTGTCACCCAGGGAAACAGGATGCAGAAACCAAGACTCACATCTCAGGAAGTCGTCTCTGTGCTGAGGTTCCTGGACGGGGAGAGATTTGTACATGGCAGCTTCTTCGCCTGTGGAAAAACACGTGTAAGACTGATTTAAAAAAAAGTAGTAGCTTTTTTTTAAGTTTAAGCTTCACCATGCAAATAAAGAGAATCTGAACTTTGCATGTCCGGTAAACCTAGCTACCCTTTCTATTTTAGGGAAGAGTGTCAGGCTGACACTCCTTATCAGAATAAACATTTTGCAATGTGGCAACCGACTGGCCTCAGAATATTTGTTATGTGTAATGAAACTCATGGCTCTCCCTCTTCAAATGTGCCCTTATGATTGAATATATATTTTCATTAAGCTTATTCTCCCCATGTCTGCCTGTCGTAACTGTCTTGACTCACTTTTAACCGCTTTCTTCTTTTTGATATCATCCAGTTCACAGAAGGTCATTTTGTTGACTGCAGATGAAAGAAAAACAGCAATTGCTTGTTAACATATTCAGAAAATGTTAATGGTGACACATGAGGATAGCAGGGATGTCAGGCTGATCTTAGAGCTGGCACCACACTTACTTGTTTTGGCTACCTTCACCAGTTCGTCATTGCTGAATTCATTCAGGTGCTGTTTCATCTCTGACACAGCTTTCGTCACCGGGCCAAAGGTGAAATAGGGATTGACGGTTACAGAGGGCAGCTCCTCTGCGTCTGTTTGAGCTATGAGCATGTGGAAACTCTACGGCCAAAAACAACAACATCAATTTTAAGGTTATGTTGAGACTTACATTTGTTTTAGACGTTCTGAGCTCTTGCGACTGGATTATGTTACTTGAGCCCGTTACCTGGATGAAGTGGATGTGATCTTCAGTGCGGGACAGCTGGGTGATCTCACTGTCTCTCCTCTTCAGGTCGGCGATCTCGTGGTTGAGACGCTCCATATGTCCCTCTGCGTTGTTGAGCGCCGCCCTCTTGTTGGAGGAAATCAGCTTGGCCATCTCTTGCTGCATCCTCTCAATCGAGCGCATCATGTCACCAAACATCTTCTCACATTCCTGCAGTGCTCTCTGGGCAGAGTTCTGCTCATAAAAAAATATGGGTGGATTTGGGGGGGGGGGGGGGGTGTCACAAATCACACTGGTGGCACACATGTTTTACCCATGCACTTAAAGACGCTGTCATCACTCCAACAACAAGGAATGCTGTCAGGGCTGCTTTATTTAAATTTCAGCTCAGTCTGTAGTGGTTAATCTAGTCTTATCTGCTTGATGGATGAAGGGGCCACAAACCTTGAGTGAGTCCACTGCCTGTTTTAGTTCCTCCATCTGCTTCAGGCGGTCATGAATCTTTTCTTGAATTTCAGCCTGAGTGGCACCCAGCCGTTGCTATGAAATGAAAAACAGGAAGTGGAGATGATCATTAGGATGGGCACACAATTTATCTATCAAAGTCTCTTTATGGAAACTAAAAGGAATGTTAAGCTACAGCCAACTGACTTTTTTCTATTTGGTTATATGTTGAAAGTCTTAAAATGTTGGGTTAGTTTGATAAATTAATAATAAATCATGCTTTGCTATTGCTGTGAAGATTTAAATACATTTGTAACAGTCTTTATCTATGAAAGGCCAAAGCAAAGCACATTTTAGCATTACCATCATGTCTGTGCTCAGTCAGTGACAGAATGAAACCCTTGGGTGGATACACAGTAAATTGTACCAACCTGTTCGTCAGCTCTCTCCTGCTCAGCCGACACCATGTCGTGACCCTTGTGCTCTTTCACCGTACACAGTACACAGATACACATCTGGTCAGTGCGGCAGAACAGCTCCAGGCCCTTCTGATGCTGAGGGCAGATTTGCCTATCCAGGTGGCCGATTTCGTCCACCAGCTTGTGCCTTTTAAAAGTGGCAGACTCATAATGAGGCTTGAGGTGCTTCTCACAATAGGAGGCCAGGCACATCAGGCAGGTCTTGACGGCTCTGTGTTTCCGGCCAATGCAGATATCACAGCCTACATCTTGTGGTCCGGCGTAGTTGTAGTCAGGAGATGGAGGTGGAGGTGGAAAGGACTCCGAGCTGCGTTGGAGGGTAGATTGCCGAGAGCTGCCCATGCGTCTGGGCGTTGGCCTCTTGTTGTAAGTGACCCTGCATTGAGGGCAGAGGTAGGAGCCTGTGTGGTCAGCATGGTCCCAGTATGTCTTCAGGCAGATGGAACAGAAGATGTGGCCACACGGGATGGACACAGGGTCTCTGAGGTACTCCTTACAGAGGTAGCAGGTGTCCTGGTCAGAAGACATTTGTAAAAGTTTGCGCTGTTCCCTTCAAATAGATGCTGCAAAGAACAATGCTGACCTGTGTCAGCACAGTGGCAAAGTGATCGTACAGGTAGTGCAGGCGTGAGTTTTATAGAGTAAACAGAGGGAGGTTAAACTGGTTAAGCCGAAACCAGTAAAACAAGGGCGGGGTAAGAAACGGACACAGTGAATGCTTCCATCGGTTACAGAATGCTCAGAGAATGAATGAAATGTTTCCTCTCAACATTCAAGTTTTGGTCTTTATAGTTGCAAAGATAATATGCTCTCAGTTTAACTCCTATTCAACACTGTCCGATCCAGCTGTGAGACAAACTCTCCGGGGATTTTCATTTATTTGTTTGGGAGAAAAAGTAAAATAGTAAAACCACAAACACTACAAAAGGTGAGATTTGGGTTAATTTTGGTTAATCGAAATATGCGACACATAAGGATCAACAAAAGAATAAATAAAATTAGAATATTACTAAGGCAGTGAATATATAGCAGGTGTTTGACTAACTAAAAAGCATACTCTGATAATGTTGAGACTGCCTTGGAACGGACTGCTCCCTATCAGCAAGCAATGATATCTATTCAGCCCACAGTGCAAACTGACCTCTTGCAAAACCGATTATTTTCTTGACTTTAATGATATTCTAGGTCATGTTCTGGAGATAAATTCTCATGTCTCATTAGAGTCCTACTGAATCAGTGACCCTGTCTGGTTATACATGAAAAAAACAAGTTAACCACTTTGTTGGCTTTAGGTTAATTCAGTTGGTCTTCTCAAGCTACTGAGATGCTGACCTTCACCTCACCTGAGACCAGTTAATCATCAACTTTAACTCTTTTTACTTTGCACTTCATTGCCCTCCACTTCCTCTATCAGAATTCCGCCCAACTGCTGGACTGCAATTTCTGTACATCCAGAGAAATTGTAGAAATATCCTAGAATGGAAACTTTTCTTATGACACTAAATACTGTTGTAGGAAGTCTGTCCGTCTGAGCTAAAAATCCCCAATTTTTGTTGGTATCATTCCACTTACACTGAACACACCTTCAAGCCCCGATGGAGTTTCAGGGTTGTTGAAATGGAGGGAGGAATGCAACTACACTTGATAGCCCAGATAACAGCAGGGCCAGGAAAGCTTGCTTAAAAGATTCCATTGTGTTAGAGCCAGCAGGGCCCATGCAGAGTGCCAAGCATTATATAGGGTCTGCAGTGTGTCAACAACAGTAACCACAGCTGACATGCTAGACTAAATGTAGCATCTTATTTGATTGAAATTTCCACCAAGAGGGGCATCCTTCTTCCTGTGACCAAGGAACTTAAACTGAGATCTGATGGATTCGAAGCCGCGTGAACAAGAATAGAATTTATTTTCATTGTTTATGCATTTTTTATTTTAAAATGTAGACAATTTTTTGGGACTCTTTGATCTTTGCAAGTTTTACATTTGAATGATAAAAGGTTAATGTTGTCGATTTTGGTCATTGTTAAAATCAATAGCATGTACTTTTGTGTCCAGTCTCGTTAAGTGATCTGACAGATAACTACTGTACCAGGCACAGCTAGCTGAGAATCACGTATGTCTGAGGTGAAACTATCCGAGGACATCTTGCACAGATCAACTACCTGCTGTCAGGGAGTGCCAGCAACAACATTCACTTTGGTGGACTCACCGCTTCCCGGTAGACCGTTATCATTTCACTGACAGCATATTTCTGATCTGACTTTTTTTGCATGTACCTTGCTCCTGAAGCTTAATTGTCCCTTTATTTTCTATTTCATACCCAGATTTGGACTTAGTCTATATAAAATTAAACTCATACATTTGTTTTTTTGAGGAGGAAAAGAACTCCGGCCACCCTTTTACCTCTCAAACTTCTTGTCTGAGCTACCGGTCAATATTTCTGCTCATTTCATACTCATTCTGCATTTCTTGTTTGAATATTTGATCATGAAAGTCAAACAAGATCAAATGATCATCTTTCAAATGTTCATTAGTTATGTAAGATCTTTTCTCTGAGATGGGTGGGTCCCAAAACAGAGACGTGGACATACTTCCCTTCATGTTTTTCAAGGACAAAAGGACTACAGTCTGAAGTTTTTCATTTTGCTGCCAAAAATCACAGCTTGTTGATCATGTGTTCTGTGCCCTCCCTCATCTTTTAGGTGGAATGAATAACAAGAAGTCGCACACACTTAGATTCTGGCTGGGCTATTTTGTAAAACGGACTTATCCTGCAAATTAAATTCTCATGGTGACTTATAAATATGGGGCTCCCGTTGTGGATTTGGGCCATTTTCCACAACAACAGGGTTTATTGTGTCCTAAAGACAAGTTTAAGCAAAGTGTCCTTTTTTCTTTACTCATCCCCAGTGAAGTGAATCCTTGTTTCCTTTGATCAGACAGCCATTTGTATTCTTTTGCGCTCTTGCTGCCGGGAGCACCCTGCGCACCTTAATGAAGGCTGACCCCTCATACTGAACTTGGACTGGGCTGTTCATGGCTGTGGAGTTTCTGTGTGCTTCATGAAAGAAAAGAGACTTATACAACCAAGCTACGCCTAAAAGAGGCGTGAAAGGAAATCTCCTCAGAGTCCTGAATCGTACACATCGTCAGGCTTCATGCAAACTCTGTAAAAGAAACTGACGTGTTTGTTCAAACGTTGCCACGTATGGAACTCTAAATCCACGTCAGATTGAGGGCTTTTACTATCTCTAGTGGTGCTCTCCACAAACGGGTGGTTAATCTGTGAGCACAGAGCGCTCCCTTTGCTCCGGAGGAAGGAAGGAAAAACTGCCTTATCAGAAACCTGACCAAATATGGAGAGCCGAAACTACCATATGTGTGAAGTAATGCAAGATAGAACTGAGGGTGGGGCAGGTGTGCTTTTTAAAGCTGTAAAACTTCTTCCCAGTGTGATTCCCAATTGGGCAGAAAACTCTGAACGCTGGATGAAACATATTAAAAACTTACATTAAACCAAAAGTTTATTTCAAGTTAGGGACCTTTGAAGTAACATCTGTTAACAGGACATTAGTAATTGGGGAAACCAATGGATTAGGTCTAATTGAAATGCTAATTAGAGGCAATAATGTCAGCAGTCACAACATGCTTAGAGTTGGGATGTTGTTCCCGGCATTAAAAAAAACAAAAACACTAAAGCATTGGGTCACTATGAGAGGGGAATTTAAAACAGAAAAGTGACATATCTTCACACAAATATGAAAGCCAGCATATGTAACACACCAAAACCTGAGAGGAATGCTGCTGTTGTCAGTGTATGCATGGCTCTGTTTCCGTAAACTGTCTCAGCTATGAGCACGTTCATTGTGCCGTTAAAACAGATACTATCCACATAACTACAGATACTATCCACATAACTACAGCTATAAATCGGCTTGCAAAGGGCGAGCCAACTGGTCAGACTGGATGTAGAGCAAATATGACGTCTCTGGATTCCACTACAAGATACATTTTTAAACAAGGAAATATATGTAGTGACAACAAATGTTGCTGGAAATGACAGAGAAATGCAGCTTGATATCAGACTGTCTCTCTGTTTGTTTAATGGGTGGTCCCTTGAATTCCTGCAGTACTTGAGGCTACTTTAATGTTTGTTGGACTATAACCGGTTTAAGACAATGGCGATTCTGTCCGACAACAATAGGTGGAAATACAGCTGCCAAGACTTGTGCGTGCTGTTTAGCCGCAGATGAGCCTCATGAGGAATTTGAGAGGGAAAGGAAGCAGCAGGGGAAAAGGAAATGTTTTCCTGCACATTTAATCTCACTGCTTCTTCATTTTACATTTCATTCATTGCCTTTTCTTCACACACTCTTCCCTCTCCTCCACTGTCTGCTGCCTGCTCTAATTCCCTCTTTTCCCTCTCTCTCCTGCTTCTTGCTCAACCTGCTTATCTGAACTGGGCAGGGCTCGATATACTCACGGCACAGGGGGAGGGCCTTGTCTGCTTTCAATCAATAACCTCTGGAATTTAGAAATACAAGTAGGTCCTGTCCCTGGCAGGCTGTACCACACTCTTGAGGGCGGGCTCCAAAACACGCTCAGAGAATTCACTATTCGCTGCTGGCATTTTCTCTGTCTGTTTCTCACAGGTCTGACTGGGTTTTAGGCTCATCACAATGGCTGATCAGACGTCTCCTGATTACTTCAGCTGCTCCTTGTGCCTGAATCTTCTGCGGGACCCGGTGGCTATCCCCTGTGGCCACAGCTTCTGTATGGACTGCATCAGTGGCTACTGGAATGAGGCAGACTACACAGGAATTTACATTTGTCCTCAGTGTAAGATCACATTCACCCAGAGGCCTGTCCTGCGACCTAACGCCACTCTCAACATGGTGGCTGAGAAGATCAAAAAGAGTGGTTTGAACCTCAACCTAAGTACATCTCAGGGAAACCTCTACGCCGGACCGACTGACGTGCCATGTGACTTCTGTATGGGGAAGAAGTTAAAAGCTGTGAAATCCTGCCTGAACTGTCTGGCATCTTACTGCGAGAAGCACTTGAGGCCTCATTACGAATCGGCCACTTTCAAAAGGCACAAACTGGTGGATGAGTTGGGAAACCTGGACAGGAAGATCTGCCCACAGCATCAGAAGTCCCTGGAGCTTTTTTGTCGGACGGACCAGATGTGTATCTGCGCTATCTGCACTGTCAGTGAACACCGAGGCCATGATATTGTGTCTGCCGAGGCAGAGAGGGGCGAGAAACAGGTAAGACGTCCTCCTTTCATGGAAAGCTTTTCTCAGCTTACCTACTCACACACAGTTGTGGCATTGTTCACCTGCCAAATAATCCACCAGCTCCTCAGAAAATGAGCTACAAATCAATCATGTTCAAATGTAAATATCTGCACGATAGAAACCACCGGCTGAAAATGCCATTTACATTGTCTGAATGTGTGAGAGAGAGTTTGAATAAAAGCAAATAGTTTGTTTTTCCAACCCCTGCCGCTGCCCTGGGATTGCTGGCTGTACTTTGACCCATTTCACCAGTGCTGCTATCAGCTACCTGGGCAGGCTTTCGCCACCGCCAAAACAAATCCAACTCTCCGATTAGCTACATGGAAGCTGGTGGGCGTGTCTTACACTTATCACCCCCTGAATGTGTCGACATAATGTGGTTCTCCAGCTGTGGGATGAATACACAGAAACTACACACGTCCCCCTTACTTCACTGGTTCCCACCTGTGGGAGTGGGTCTGAGGTAATGGTGGAATGTCAGGGAGTGAAGGCATTCAGCACCGCAGTTCAATCTCAGTGTTGTTACCACAGCAATGCATACTCCAATGACTCATAAATTACTCCTCCAGTTAAACTATGTGGAGTAGATAAGAATGTCAGGAGATACTGGGATGTTAATGTATGAGCTGGTGCAGTAGTTAAACTGTGTGGGTAAATCGGGAGTGTTTTTATGGCTGTTTAGAGATAGACGATGAGGACATGCAGCCACATTTATAACATCAGGAGTCTGGTTCCTCTCATACAAAGATTTACAACCTGAATGTAACACATTTTACTCCATCTCCCGCGCTTTCTCCCCTCCCCCCTTTCATGTTCACCCCCCCGCCTCCCTGGATTCCCCACATTCCTCAAGCTTATCTTGAAGAATAGGCTGGTGGGCTTGAGCAAAAGCTGAATTAGAAGCCTTCTATTCTGCATGTCACCGCTGTGTGCACCTTGAAACATCTCAAACTCAGACAGCGCTAGTTTCACATTCCTGACATGAACAGAATTCTTCCCCAGATTTCTTTTTTCCCCCATCTCCCTCTGGGATAAAAGCAGGCCGCATTAAGAAGTTTCTTTGAGTGGGGTTTATTAAGCATGCCAAAGGGCCTCCCCAGATATTCTTTGATGAGAAAGAATGTCTGTCCTGATCCAAGAAATATGAGGCTTTACGTTTTGTACTATGAAACCACATTACATTCAGATGCATCTTGTAAATCTGACTAAAAGCCAATTAAGTTGTCAGTTAGTGTACCACTTCATAACAATTTCAAGGATAGAGTTGTTAGTTTTGGAGTGCGAGTTGAAACAGTCAATTAAATGGCTCTATTGTAAATCTTTTCTCTGCAGAAACTCTTGGGAGTCTCCCAAGCAGAGATTAAGCAGAAATGCCAGGAAAGGGTGAAGGAGCTAGAGGAATTAAAGACCGCTGTGGATTCACTGAAGGTAAGGATCCGTGTGTATGGTGCGGTACAAACTAACATACTGATTTCTTTGCTGCAAACAAAAATACATTGTTAAGAAGAAATATAAGGTTTAGAATCAAGACACAGAGATCTCTCCCATAAATCGCTGCATATCCTGGCTGTTGTGCGCAGAACTCAGCCCAGAGAGCAATGGTGGAGAGCCAGAAGATGTTTGAAGACATGATACGCTCCATTGAGAGAATGAGGTCAGAGGTGACCAAGCTGATTGGCATCAACGAGAAGGCTGCTTTCAACCAGGCCGAGGCTTTGATCGAGCGACTGGAGCAGGAGATCGATGAACTGAAAAAAAAGGAGTCGGGCCTCAAGCAGCTGTACAGCACTGAAGACCACATCCACTTTTTGCAGGTAAGATACAACTTTATATATAATATATAATCTATATATACATAATCTATATACAATATATAACATGAGACTGTGTGTTTGCAAGGCTGAAGCAAATTTGCCCTGAACTATGCGTTGATCCTCATCTTTATCTCCAATCAGAACTTCAACTACCTCTGCACTCCAACTGATGACGGCTTCATACCGAAAGTGACGGTGAACCCTGACTTCTCCTTCGCAGCTGTCAGGAAAGCCGTGGCTGAGATCAAGGAGCGCTTGGAGGAGTTTGGCAGGGAGGAGTTGCTCAAGATCTCCAAGACAGGTTCATGCTAATTAGCAGCATCATTAAGCATCACTTTTAAGCGCTGAAGCTTAAAGCGCCCGTTTGCTAAACATGAATGCGTTCTGCTTTACAGTGAACGACGTCCCAATCTACACCACCGAGAGTCGAACATTAGACAGAAGGAGCAGAGGTCAGTGCCATCATGTTCTTTTCTGGGACATGATAGGGAGACGTTAATTATTGTTTAGGTTGACGGGACAGTCACTGTAAATAGAAGGAGACAAACCGCACACAGATTACATCACATTTGCCTGAGTTACAACTCTGCCAACCGCATCAACAGAAGAATTACAGGCATCTGTGTGGGTGTCTGCGGTTCAGGTCAACCTGACACAGTGTTTCCCTACGCACAGGCAAAGAGATGACCGTGGACAACACTCCTCCTCCAGAGCCAAAGACCAGGACTGATTTTGTGAAGTGTGAGTAACTAGCATATTGGCTTGATATTGTCTTTACAATTTAGTTGTGGAAAGTAACACAATATCTTTCGATGAGCTCATAAGATTAGAGATGGAAAACATTTGATAGCACCTTTAAGTTTCTGAAAACGTTCTCATTGCATACTTGGAACAGGTATATTAAATCACCAAGAATGAAAGTTTGCATGTTTTTTTATCATGCTTTCCAAAGAGTTTGCTTCTTTTTTTTTTCCCTACTGAATAAGAACGTTAAAAAAATCTCCTCCCTTTTAGACTTCTGCCAGCTTAAACTGGACCATAGCACAGCCTACAAGGAGCTATACATCTCTGAAAATAACAGAAAAGTAATCCGCACCCGAGACCTGCAGCCCTACGGCGACGGCCCGGAGAGGTTTGACAGCTTTGCCCAGGTGCTGTGCCGAGAAGCCTTGTCCGGGGGCCGCTTCTACTGGGAGATCGAGTGGAGTGGGGAGTTCTCCATTGGGGTGGCCTACAAGAGCATCAGCCGGAAGGGCAAAGGCTCGCTGTGCCTTCTGGGCTACAACGACAAATCCTGGAGCCTCCTCTGCTCCGACACGGGTTACTCTGCCTGGCACAACCGGGTGGACAAAGCCGTCAACGGACCCCACTCCCCCAGGATAGGTGTGTACCTGGACCACAGCGCAGGTGTGCTGGCATTCTACAGCATAAGCAGCACCATGACCCTCCTGCACAGGTTCCAGACCAAATTTCTCGAGCCCCTTTATCCAGGATTTGGAGTCGGAACATCCGTCAAAATCTGCAACATCAAGTGAACGTAGATTTTATTGGGTTTTTATATTGTAATTATATACAGCGATGCTTTTTGAAATATATATATTTTTGCATCCATCTTAAAAACATATCGAACCAGTTTATAAGATTTATATCGTTTAGTTTTGGAGGAAAATATTTTGCATGCATACACTTTTTTTAACTCTACACAATGAATTTTTTAAGATGTTTTGCACTGTGCTGTCAATTTTTTTTATCTTCATCTTCAAAACTTATTGAAATACAATATTGAATAATCAAAAAAGCACAACATATGTAAAGCTGTATTTCTTTTGGTCACCTGTTGGTCCAATGAATGTCATTATCAGAGTCCATATGTAATCTATGTTGCAGTCTATTTACTTCCAACTATCCCATTGAAACCTGAGTGGTATATTCTAAATAATAATGTAATTATTGTAATTTTGTCATTTCAGTGTTGTCTGATATTTTTGCATCATTGTTTTGAATATATTTCACTCATTTGAAGGATGTGTGTAATATAATCATTTTACTTTTCATTTAAAGGTATTATTGCTACTATTTCTTACAGATTCAGGATAATATTTCAATGTCATTTCATCAGGCCTTTTATTTGATGTTTTGATATAATTTTTTTCTTCCTTTTTGTCACTTGAACTAACTCTTATTTAATTTTCAACATGTTTACCTACATAATGGAAAGCCAGAGTATAATTTCATACAAAAAAAAGTTGTTTTGTGAGGAAAATTTCCATTGACCGTACCAAATAAAGAACAAAATGTGTTTTGTGTTGGACTCCCACATTAAATCCTTAAGTGAATTAATCTTGGTGGTAACTGGGGAATTTAATTTAGGAAATTAAATATCTAAATAGTTTGATTCGTATCTGTGGTAGAAATTGAGCTTTAGCTAGCAGTACTTAACTATAGTGAGAATTACTTGTTTTATATCCAAGTAAGCAAATCATAAAAATAGAAAAAGAGCTAACTTTGACAGTCAGCAGCTCCCTCTGCTGTCTGAATCCAGAATCTTTGGCAAAAATTTTACACATGTATAATTATTGGGCAACAGATTTTAGAAAAAGAAATCTATCCACCTAAAGAGAAATATATACAAAAATATAACAGCTTATGGTGCCTTTTTTTTCATTTCTTAACTTTTTACTTTAAAAAATCTCATATAAATACATTGAGATGCCCCAAATTCAGATGGTCAGTTTTTTTGTGGACAAATTGGTATTCTTGATTTTGTCAACGTTGAAGTCAAACTTCATTGACTCAAGTTGCTGACAGAACTCCACCAAGTGTTTACATGTCATGTTTGACCATGTTGCCAAACACATTTTCCACATAAGTCAGAAACAAAAGTACATTACCTTAATTGGGTCATTTCTTTTAGGGCTTTTAATTTATTTATTTTTCTAATGTTTCAAATGTTCAAATCAAAAAGTTTTCAGATGTGTCCCTCGTCCCTCCCCTTTTTTTGCCAGTGAATGTGCCCCTTTATATTGCCTAAACCTGTATTGAGAAGCTTTCAGGTAACACTAAAACATTTGTCCTTCTTAAAGAATGCAGCAAGTCAAAGACATTAAACAATAGACATTTGTTTATTGGTTCCCAGGAATCTTACAGGAAGTTGAACATACAATGCTCAGACACAAAAAAGGAAAATTCACGACAGTCCAAAATTCAGACATCGTAGCCAATTATGCCTCCTTTGCCAATACACTCTCCAATGTAGAACCACATCAGCACTTCTGTGGCCACCAGCCCGTTCCTTACAGCGTCCTGGAACAAAAAGATTTCATATGCTTTATATATTTAGAAGCGTAACTAGTTAAATGCAGCATCAGGAAGGCATGGTTTCCTACAGGACTTTCCAGTAAACTAGTGGGTCCATTTAATTGTGTTTTTATTTAACTGATGATAAAAGCTGATGCAGTTTTTACACCATTTCTGCTGCAGTTGTGAAATTCAAAAACGGTCAGAAAAAGGTTCTACAAAGGTTATATCGGTTAATAACTGGTTTGCTTAAAATCTTTTGTTTCAGAGTTTTTTTAAAAATTTTATTGCGTTTATTGCCACGTATTTCCCCATCTGTTCTTGGATGTTCTCTTTTTAGATGGTGGCATCCCTGGAAAACAGTTGGATTTTTTTCTATTTTTTTGGGACTGCATAAGAATAGAAGGTTTTGTAGGAATATGAAGATTACTTTCGTGGTATGCATTTTCGAGGCCGGGCTCCAGCAACAAACTTTTTAAGGGGCTTCAAACTCTGGTCATCAAAGTTTCAGTTTCCTTGTTTCACACATCTGATTCACATTAAATTGATGTATTGAAAACATTGTGATGCTTTGCACGGGCCTGTTAAGGGTGCATTGATATGAATCAGGTGTGTTGAAATGGGGAAACCTCTAACACCGGCAGGGCAGTTGCCCCTGAGGACCCAGAGTTTGACACAGGGAGATATGTTTTGAATAAAGAAGTTAAGGTTGACAGAAGTTTTCAGTTTGAGAGGCACCATATTTATTAAGATTTAATATGTTAAAACCTAATAAAACAACAAGAGGGGCAAACACGTACCTTCACAGTGGTTTGACCGAGGCGTCCTGTCTGGAAACCCTTGATGATGTTTGAGGCCCCCTCGATGGCTTTGGGGATCTCAGCAGGTGAAGGGGGGACAAGTTCAACACGGGCGTAGTACCAAAAGGTTGCAAGCCGAGGTTTGGAATAGGTGACAGCGGCTGAGGGGAACAGAATATAATGCTGTTGTAATGTGCGCCTTACATTGCTACAAGCACCTACGGTGCATTAGCCGCTAACTACATGCTAACTGTTTAACGAGTGTAAACGTTTAGAATACAGGTTTCAGTACACAAAACAGTCAAAGCAATTTTACCCAGAGTAAATCATGAACTGTTTACGCAGGAACACATGAGAGCACAATCTAATATTACTCCAACTTTAATCACTGACGTCTGGGTCACGGTAACATTAGAAGTACGGGCCGATCGCAATCTCCAAATTGACTTTTGACGAATACTAGCTCCAGTTATTGAATGTACGGTGTAAAAATAACACAAAACCTTACCGCCAACCAGGGTAGGTACTTTGGAAACCAGTTTCTGCACTGCTTGCGCCATGTTGAGGTGTTTGTCGATGCTAACTGTTCCCCGTTTCGGCTAGCCAACTGAATGTCACCTCCAGTTGAAGGACCAGCGCCCGCAGCTGCCCCAGTGTTGCCAACTCCCCAGTAAGGAAAGTAGCTATTGGCTCTGCTAAAAGTCTTCTTCTTCTTCTTCTTTTCTATTATGGCGGGTCGCAATCAACTTTAAGGTGCATACCGCCACCTACTGTACACGAGTGTGTAGCAACAGTATTCTACATCAGTCATATTCTATTTTTTAATTTTGTGTTTTGAAGAAAAATAAATAACGCTTTTCTTATCCTACAAATATCCTTTATATTTCCATCATTTCCCAATATTCCTTTCAAACTCCATTCTTGATCTGTCTTTCCAACTATTCTTCTCAATTTCTCCCTTTCACGTTCATATGTTTTACAGTTCAGTAGTATATGTTCTACATTTTCTTTCTCTCCACATTTTTCGCATTTATCCTTATTTTTCTTCCCTATTAAATATAAAGTATCATTTAAATATGTGTGCCCTACTCTCAGTCTAATCATTATTATTTCTTCCCTTCTATTTCTCTCCTTAATATTTCTACTAAATATTGACTTCTGTATTTTATATAATTTCCTTCCTTTCTTATCTTCATTCCATCTTTTTTGCCATATTTCCATTTCTTTATTCTTAATAATTGATTTCCCTTCCCCTTTGCCAATAGGTATTTTAATCGTTATTGCCTGATCTAAAGCCCTTTTTGCTAATTTATCTGCCCTTTCATTGCCTTTTACACCTTGATGTGCTGGTACCCAACAGAACCAAACATCAATGCCCCCTCTGTATAATCTAAATAAGCTATGTTAAATTTCTAGTACTAGATCTTTCCTATTGTTTCCTTCTCCTTGAATACTTTCTATGACTGCTCTGGAATCTGTGCAAATTACTACTCTGTCTGGACGCACCTCCTCTACCCACTGCAAACTGATGATAACTGCCACCATTTCTGCCGTGAATACAGATAGTTGATCAGATAATCTTTTAGATATGTCAATTTTAAACTCAGATATATAAATTCCTATTCCCACACATCCTTTTGAATTCTTAGAACCATCTGAATATATTTTAGCATAATTATAATATGAGTTTCTTAAGTATATATCGGTTTTTACCCCTATTTCTTTTCAATTCCAATCGCTTTTCATTTTAAGGAGTTTTATGTCTACATTTACTGCCGGAAATATCCATGAAGGGCTAACATTAATTGGATTAAATTGAGCTATTTCTTTATCTTCTAATTCATATATTTTAATCCATTTGTTTATGATCCATCCAAATCCATTACTATGGAACTTTAAGTATTCCCAACAATATTTTAATATTGTTGAATTTACATTTTCATCTTTTTTACTTTTTATTTTCATCCAGTATGTCAGAGCTAATTTTATTCTTCTTATTTCTAGTGGAATCTCTCCAGTCTCTACTAGAAGGGCATTAATAGGTGTCGTTTTCACTGCTCCTGTACATATACGTAAAGCCCTATTCTGTAAAGTATCTATTTTTTTGTAATGTTGTTTTAGCTGCTACTCCATATATAAAACTACCGTAGTCTATTGTTGATCTCATGAGAGCCCTATATATGTTTAATAATGACTGTCTATCTGCACCCCAGTTATTTCCAGCCACAGCCTTTAGTAGATTTATCACTTTCTTACATTTAGTTTCCAGATTCTTTGTATGCGTTTTCCATGTATATGATTGATCCAACCATATTCCCAGATATTTAAATTCTGCTACCCTTTCCAATGGTTGTTCATATAATGTTATTGTACCTATGTCTATGTTTTTCTTATTTGTAAAAATCATATAACAAGATTTACTTGTTGATAATTTAAAACCCCATTCAAAGGACCATTTTTCTACTTTATTAATCGCTTTCTTAATTTTACCTATAACAAATCTTGTATTCTTTCCTCTCATCCATAATACTCCATCATCAGCATATAATACAGATTTTATACATTCTTCTGTTTCAGAAAAGATATCGTTTATCATAATATTAAATAGTATTGGGCTAATTGCACTACCTTGTGGAATTCCATTTTCAATATTCAATTCTTTTGAGTAGTCATTTCCAATCTTAACTTTTATTTTTCTATCCTTTAAAAAATTTGCTATCCAATTAAACATTTTCCCTCCTATTCCCATCTGCTTCATTTTTATAAGTAGTCCTTCTCTCCATAGTGAATATTAAGCTTTTTCTATGTCCAAAAATACTACAATCATAATTTCTTTCATTTTTAAAGCTTTCTCTATATCATTACTAACTCTAGTTATTGCGTCCATTGTTGATCTTCCTTTCCTAAATCCGCACTGATTTTCATTGATTAATTTCTTATGATCAAGAATAAATTCTAGTCTCTTAATCACTATTTTCTCCATCCACTTACTTAAGTGTGAAGTTAATGCTATTGGTCTGTAATTATTTGGATTTGCAGGATCTTTCCCTGGTTTATTAAACGGTAGGATTATTGCTCTCTTCCATCTATTTGGTATTAAACCTTCTTTCCATATTTTATTAAACAGTTTTAATATTAATTCTAATGTTACTTCAGGAATCTGTTTAAACATAGCATAGCATAGCTGATCTTCCCCAGGAGCTGAATATCCTGTCCCTTTCAATGCTGCTTTAATTTCCTTCATGGTTATATTTATGTTTAATGTTGAATTATATGTTTGACTTTTTCCCAAAATATTTTTATGCTTGCTAATTTTTTGATTCATCTGTTGTCTATGAATGTTTGTAAGATGTTCCCCACTATGTACTGCCGCAAATGCTTCCCCCAACAAATCTGCCTTATCTTTATTTTACACTACTACTTCCTGATCTCTGACTAAGGCTGGTATTTTAATATCACTCCTTTTCCCAATCATTTTCCTAAACATTGACCATACATTTTGCAATTTAATTTCAGATCCTATTGAGGAAGAATATTCTCTCCACGTTTTCTTTTTGGCTTCCTTAATAATTTTACGAGCTACTGCTCTTTTCTTTTTATAATTAATAAGAGTTTCAAGTGTTAGATTTTTCTGCAGTATATTAAATGCCCTGTTACGATCTTTAATCGCTCTAGTACATTCATCATTCCACCAAGGGACTACTTTTTTCTTCCCTTTTATCATTGTTTTTGGTATACTTGCATTTGCAGCATTTAAAATATGTTTTGTTATCTGGCTTGTACACTCTTCTATGTTACCTTTTAATGTAACCAAATGTCTGCTTTCCTCACACTTTACTTTAAATTTTTTCCAATCAGCTTTATTAAAGCACCATCTTGTGATTATGACATCTTCTTGCCTCTTTATATTATCATTAATTATAGTACTTACTGGAAAATGATCACTCCCTATTGTAGATTCCCTGTTGACGTTCCATTCACATGATCCTACAAGGCAGTCAGATACTAATGTAATGTCTAGACATGAGGTTGTATTTTTATGTACATTAACTCTGGTACCTTTTCCATTGTTAAGACAAACTCTGCTAAAAGTCGCTAGAAGTCGCCAAATGACGCCATCGCCTAATTTGCATAATATGCCACGTGACGTGATGTGCTGCAGGGGCGGAGCGGCACCGCGTGATCATTTCGGCCTCAATCCCGGCGCATGCGCGCTTCATTTGCAGTCCGGACGCTGAGGGTAAACATGCTGTGGGTCCTCCCCACCCCCCTAATAAACCGGAGGGACTGGTTTTAACGCTGGACGGTCGCTCTTTAAGGAATAAAAAATACCAACGGGCTGCAAACTAAGAAGACCTTACGAGACGAGGACGAAGAAGTGTCTGGAAGCAGCTGTGGACGCGGAGCGGTTCTCTCTAAATGAGACGGAATGGACGGCGGCGGGGATAACGTGGCTCATGAATCTGCGGGTAGCTACACAATTCTCCTGTTTGTCTTTAGCTGAGGACGCATGCTTAAAACATAAAGCTAGCAGCTGCCTTACCTTCTAACGCGGTATTACACTATAATAAAGTTTACTTTGGCCGTCTCTAGAAAAACGTGAAAGTGGGGCTCCACCATCTTTTGATTTCTGGGGTTTTACTTGCGCGGGAACGATGAAAACGAATCCCGTCCTCAAACTAAACGAGTTCGATATAAACCAAGAAAGCAAAAACGCCTGTCGTTCAGTTAATTATTTAGCAAAATTCAGGAGTCTGGAGCAGGAGTGTGTTTACACAATGTCAAGGAGGAAAGACATCAGCCATAACCTAAGAGTCATCTGGATTCCACCACCCCTTAGAGAGAGAGTTTATTCACAGGTGAAGACATTCAGGATGGCTGCCAGTTTGTCCAACAAGGTCACCCCTAGCTCATCCATCCCAGATGATCCGAGCAGGTTCTGCAGCACCAGGACCTTAAAGTCCACCAGGAACCCCCCAGGAACCCAAAGTGTTCAGAGTCAGACGGGAGGCCGTCTGTCCCACAGCTGAAGCTGGAGCCAGCCCCCCAACAGGACTGAGATCCAAACCTGGCAGCAGAGCCGTGCAGGAACCTCCATGAGCTGAATAGCTACAGGCAGCAGAGAGGGACAAAAGTCCTCCACAGCCATCGCAGAGACTGAGAGACCACCAGAAACCAGTTTCTAAACTGGCTGCTTTGGGTCTGCTCTCAGTTTTTGTTCCATAAATAAACCAGACAGTGTCTTCGGTCACATGATCCTGTTGTCTCTTTAGGTTCCCTCAAATTTAGAACCTGACAGGATCCAAATGAGGAGGGAAAAGGAAATGTGTCCATTTCAGGAGCATAGTTTGATGACATCGTTGTGGTTGAACTGATGGTTTTTATGTACAGCTGTCGATGGCTCAGCTGGTCCACAGATTTCTTCCTCACTAAACTTTGTCTTCTAGGAAAGGACAGGTCCAGACGATGGATTACTCGGGGGACCTCGTGAAAGTGACCTCATCAAACGGGTCGCAGTCGACGGCCCAGAAGGTAGAGGCTCTGAAACCGGCCCACTGGGTTACAGGACCAAAGGCTCTGG